ACATACTGACCATAGTTTAAAACTTAGTCTAAAGTTGGTTGAAAAGCGTATAGTTGATACTAAGATGGAAGGAATCAATGAAAGGCGGAAATGGCGCAGTTGTTTCATTCTTTAATGTGTTCGCAAGCAGGATTTACGTGATGCTAGCGACATCTATTAATGCAATCGGGGACGCTGATTGGCTGACCGAGTCCGTGAGCAGTATCACTAATGTACGCCAGTACAGGGTTGATGCAATGTGCGCATGCGCAGGAACTTGGGCTCTCATGGAGGGGCTTTTGGTACCTCGGGCAGCGCCCAATGCTTTTTGGACCTGTTATGGCCTCCACATCGAAAAATGCTAGATAAAAAGGTTGTAGAGGAAGCTTGAGGCTACCTTTCCCCACAAAAATATTGGCACTTTATCTTTTAGCTTACGTGTGAGGCTCGCTTGAAAAAGGTCGATTTAACATGGAAACCCTATGGGGCAGTAGTTTTTGAGCGCCCATTTGGCCTAATGCTACCAACTGTTACTGGCTACCCCTGATTGGGCCATTGAGTGTGCCTATTGAATTCTATGAGTAAAATGACCCATAAAACATGTGTCGCACATGCCCTTTTCTATATTTTGTTTTTTGGTGACCTGACCTGACCTGACCTGACCTTGACCTTGACCTCTGAATGATATTGTATGCAACGAATATTGTCTTGCATAGGCGTAGGAACGTTTTCGAAAGTGGGGGGGCCAGGCTCCCAGAGGTCTAAAACCTAACCTACCCCCAAAATCCAATTTCTCCTCGGATTTCGGCCACTTTGTTTTCGCAAACATGCTCAGAGGAAAAAAAATATAGACAAAAACAAAAACAAAATTGGTTAAATTTCAGGGAGACTCCCGTCCATAAACTCAAACTGATGGACGCGTTCCCCTGTCCTCCGCAGCCGTTGGCACCCATGCAAATTCCAGAGGCATCCAACAACTTTTTCATTACGAGCAAGCGTGAAACGTGCAAAGCGAGTCTTTTCAATATACCTTTAAAAATCAGCAGGAACGGCCCAGCTAGGCTCAGCCAGGCCTGTAACGTTTTTAAGAGGTTTTATATCAGCGACCACTGCAACTGGGCTGATTGACTTTCAGAGGCCGCCGGCCGGTGTGAGACTTTTAGAGGCCGGTCTGGGCCCTCAGAGGCCAGTTTAGCCCTCGCCGGCCCGGACCTATAGGTTTTCTACACACGCGCCGGCCGAGGGGGCGGGGGGCGGGCACGACCCCCTTGCTATTTCGCCCCAGGTGGAGCTAGCGCGTTATGGAAAAAACGAGCGTGTGCGCCGTTACGAGACGCAGAGATCGATTCTCGATTTTAAGGTCCTAGGCCAACCGGTGACCTCTGAGGTCAGGTCAAGTGTCTAAAGGCACGGTTCCGTTTTTGGTGAATAACTTCGCAAAAAACGGCCGCAGAGCCGCGATTTTGGCAGCATCGTGTTCGCCTCGCTCAGGCGCGTCGAATGATATACTTTTTGTTTGGGTCAGGTCAACTTAGGGTGTTGATCTCAGGTCAAGGTCAGGTCAGCACCCCCAGGTCACGAAGTTGGTCGAAAGAGGTCATGTCGCATATCATTCGATTCGGCAGGTCTTCCTGAGTCCATTGGTGGCTTTCCCGACTCGCTAGCTCAATTTGATCGGTAGATAACGTCATAAATGACGTCGCGCAAGGTCAACATTGCAAAAGTGACGCATCGAACATTGCAAGGAGTGCATGAAATCACGATTCGGTGTGCTTGAGATAGTTGGAGATCGTTTCCGGCGCCAGAAAAAGTTTTCAGTTGATCTCCATTGACTTATACCTAATGGCACGGGCGTAGGAACGTCATGAAAAGTGGGTGGGCCACCCTGTCAAGGGGCCTCCTTTTCCAGGGGGCCTCCTATTTTCAGGGGCCTCCAACTTTTGCCTCGTCCAAGTCGTCCTGCTGACTGCTTTCAAGTATGACCTCCAAATCTAGCTTCTGAGATCGGGCAGATGTACCCAGGGGCGTAACCGCTTAAGCGAACAGTGCGGAAAGTCCGCACCATTTTTAAAACTTATTCCCCCTCCGATTTTTTTAGAATCTATTTGCCGTAAACGGCGCATGACCCCTGAAAACCCTTACACAAATGTCTTCCTCGTTTCCCAGGTGCCCCTATTAGCTTCATAGGCACTCTCTTTGGCATATAAGCGCCCTATGTATAGTCATCAGAGACATCCCTATTAGAGGTGGCAAAAGATGAAAATTTTGGGAACCAGACTCGAACCAGACCCGGCTGGACATTTCTGGAACCAGTCGGACCCGGTCTTAGTTGGTATCGGAACCAGTTGGACCCGCTCCCCAAAAGTCAATTAATACAAACCACTTGTAGGTATCATTAGACGCCCATATATGTAGGCCTCAGAGGCGCCCCTCTTTCGGAACCGCTCCCCTTTGGCATGCAGACGCCCATCTTTCGTACGGAGGAGCCGCTGTGGTTCTTAGAGACGGCATGGTGCTCCCAGACGCAGATGGGGCTCTCGGAGTCGACAGTGTAGGACCTTCAGTCGCTGATGGGTGCCCGCCAGATGTGGACCCTCGGAGACGCCGGTATGCGGCCCTCAGAGATGCCGGTATGTGGCCCTTAGAGACACTGATGTGGAACCCTCAGATACTTCAGTGTGAAGCCCTTACAATTGCTGGTGTGGAGCTATGAATGCGCTGGCTTAAATCCCTCAGAGGCCGGTACATGGACATTAGAGCTCAGTGAGAGCTTGTGTGGTGCCTTCAGTGGCCTTGTGGAGCCGTTAGACATCAACATGGTGCTCTCAGGAGCCGGTGAGTCCTCAGAGTGCCTCAGTCACCGGTGTGGGGCCTTCAGAGCTCCGAGATACTGGTGTGGGGCCCTCAGAGGTGTCGGTGTGGGTCCTTCAGTTGTACCTATATAGAGCTTTGAGATGCACAGGTGTGATGGCCCACAGAGGCGCCAGTGTGGGGCCCCCAGAGCCACCGATATAGGGCCCTAAGAGACACTAGTATGACCCTCAAAGGCGCCGCTGTGTGGCGCTCATAAACACTGGCGTGGAGCTATCACAGGCGGGTGGAGCCGTTAGAGGCCGGAAAGGGCCCTTAGATGCCTGCAAGGAGCCTTCAGAAGCCGGCGTGGCACGCTTATGGGGATAAGCGTGTCTACTTAGGAGCCCTTGAGGTGCTCTCACGAGCTCTGTGGGGCCCCACCGAGCCGAAATATGGCCACGGCCAGCTGCCGCCGCATGGCTCTTCGGACTATCATTCTCAGGGGCCTCATCTGCCTAGTTTGAAAAGAAGGGCCTCTCAGATCATCAGTCTCATGGGCCTCCTCTGGCTAGTATAAATAGAAGGGCCTGTTAGACCATCAATCCTAGGGGCCTCCTCTGGTTAGTATAAATAGAAGAGCCTCTCAGACCATTAATCTCAGGGGGTTCCTGTGGACAGTATAAATAAAAGGGCCTCTCAGACCATCAGTCTCGGGAGCCTCCCTAGAAAAGTGTAAATGTGGATAGAGGGCCCCCTCAGATTCATTAGGAGTGGACCTCTCTGACTATCAGTCTCAGGGGCCTCCTGTGGCTAGTATGAATATAAGAGCCTCTCTGATCATCAGTCTCAGGGGCCTCTTCTGACTAGTGTGGATAGAGGGCCCTCCCAGACCACCGGTTTCAGGGGCCTCCAGTGGCCAATTATATGAACAGAAGGGCCTCACAGCCATCAGCCTCGGGGGCCTCTTCTGACTGGTGTGAATATGAGGGCCTCTCATACCATCAGTCTCAGGGGCCTCCTCTGCCTAATGTGAATATAAGGGCTTCCCAGGCGGCAGGCCATCAGTCTCAGGGGACTCTTCTGACTGGTGCCGGATTGAGGGACCTCCCAGACCGAAAGTTTTGGGGGTCTCCTGTGGCTAGTATGAATAGAAGGGCCTCTCAGTCCCTCAGTCTCATAGGCCTCTTCTGCCTGGTGTGATTATAAGGGCCTCTCAGGTCATCAGTCTCAGGGGCCTCCTCTGACTACAGTGTAGATGGATAGGCCTCCCAGACCAACAGTCTCAGGGGCCTCTTCTGACTATTGAGGATAGAGGGGCTTCCTCTGACTAGTGAGGGTAGGGGGCCTCGGCTAGACCGCCAGTGTCAGGGGCCTATTCTGACTAGTGTGGATGGAGGGGCCTTCCAGACCACCAGTCTCAGACCTCTGACTATGTGTGGATAGAGGGGCCTCCCAGACCGCCAGTGTCAGGGCCTCCTCAGACCAGTGTGGATATTGGGGCCTCCTAAGATCCACTAGGGCCTCTCAGGCCATCAGTCTTAGGGGCTTCGACTGACAAGTATGAAAAGAGGGCCTCCTTGGATCCATCACGGCCCCTTGGAGTCCGTGCGTGGGGATTCGTGGAACTTATTTTTACCGAGTTTGTTTATTCTGGAAGGTGACGACACGTCCTCTCAAATCGAGACGAGGGGCCTCGAGTAAAAAGTGGGTGGGCCAAAACACATGGTTGGCCCCCCCACCTCGAAAAGTGGGTGGGCACTTGCCCACCTGGCCCCCCCTGTTCCTACGCCTATGTTGTCTTGGTAGCCTAAGAACACGTTTTGGGCGATCAGTCTCAGTCCATGACTCCATTCTTCGGCAACTACGGTCAAGGCCGATACTGTAGAAACTTGCAATTTGTACCCTTGACCTGACCTTGACCTTGACCTCAAACTTTAAATTAAGTACATGTTTTTAGTAGTTCGTGATGAGAGCTTTCGATTGGCGTTTGAATTTTCCAAATCGGACCATAAGTTCGGGAGATAACAGGGGGGGGGGGTAAAATTTACCCCCCCCCCAGCCCCGCGCGTTCGGCTGGAGACCCCAGCCCCGCGCGGGTTAAATCAGTCAATCGTTCTGACCTTTCGCTCCGTATGTCGTCTATTCTTGTTCTCTCCCTTCTTTCTATCCCTCTCCCACTGTTTCCAATCAGTTCTAATTCTGACGTTTCTCCCCTCTCCCGCCCACAGGAGGCTGCGGAAACGACGCTGAGCGAAGGTGAGGTGACGGGCGACACGGTACCGGTGGGTACCTTCCCCTCAATGTCTACAATAGGACCAGTTCGGTCTGCCCTAGGACCGGGACCGTCAGGGACCACTCTGGCACCGTCAGGAACCACCCTGGGACCAGGACCGTCAAGGACCACACTGGGACCAGGACCGTCTCGGTCCACCCTGGGACCGTCTGGGAGCCAGCTGAGCGCCGGCCAGCGTCGCTCCAGTCACCTGTCGGCGGGTCACAGTCAGCTGGCGGTGAGTCGCGGTCAGCTGGCGGCCAGTCGCGGTAGTCTGCCGCCCTCTGTGCCCTCTGTAGACAGTGTTCCGGCGGCGCGGACAGCCTCAGACTCCCGGCTGAGCGCTGTCCGTGCCGGCCCCGGTCCGTCGAGCGCCGTCCGTTCTGAGGTGTCCGGCAGGCCGGCGGCTCGGGCCGCCAGCTCCCCGCGTCTCTCCACGGTATGTGATCGGCCGTCGGCGCGCCGCCGCCGCTCCTGGGCCGCCCCCGCCCCCGCCCCCGCCGGGGCTGACCGCCCGCCGGAGCCGGGGGACCTCAGTGACGGGGAGGTGTCCGGCTCTGTGCGGGTGCGTCACGTGCACATCCGGCCGGTGCGGGCCGGCCCGACCTTCGAGCTGGGAGAGGAGGGCGGGCCGGCGCCGGCCAGCGAGGGACTCTGGTCAGAAGGAGAGGCGGCCGAGGATGGCGGCCTCTGGGCCGACCAGGCCTCGCTGCACGGGTGACACGGCGGTCCGGTCACCTCAGCATCTCACACGACCCAGTGAAAGGACTAAGTTAGTCCTCAATGACGTCGAAGTTCACTCATTCCGTGCATTTCGTTGGCTATCTTAAGTATATGCGAATTGGGCCCGCGCTCGTCTTTCACCAGTATTTTTGTCCCTCGTTTTGGCCAGTGTTGAGTGCGGTGTTGCTGTAATGATCTGTTTTGTATTTGCATGTTGTGACAAGCAGGCTACCTCACTGGTGTGAATGTTATTTGCTTTGATGTTGTCGGCCTCATGTCTGTGCTTTAAACGAGTGCCCGCACTGCCAGTGAAAAGTACAACCTCCTGCAGTTTGTTTTACTTTTGAAGTTTGTTATAAATAAATGAACAAAACATGGCAAATAAAGTTGTATTTCTTCGTGAAAAATTGATACAGAACACATAACTGAGATCACTTCGAAAAAGGGCACTCTGTAACAGCGGGTACATCTCAACAAAATGGCAACAGAAGATGAGGCCGCCGGTTGCCTCCAGGGCGGGTCACTGTCCGCCTAGGTTATCCGCGGCCGAACGGAACAACAGCAACAAGGTACGCCCGTACCCGTCACGTCACCTGTCGGCGACACCAGCGTCTGTGTAACGGGCAGCTCCGTCGCAAACTGCACAACCAATGTCTACAACATTCTACGCGAGCGAAATCGCATGTGTAAGTTATAAATAAAGTCTACAAACGCCCAAAACTAGGTCTCAACTTTCTACAAATGACTTGATTCTGGACCTAACAGTCTGCAATATCAAAAATTAATAACAGTAACAAGAACACACGCTGCGAGCGTTCGGTGGAAACTTTATACCTCCCTGATTCTCTGAGAAAGACGTTTGTTCTTTGCACATACCCGGAATGCCCTGAGATGCCGAGCCACGGCTCTGTTGAATCAGGGGGACAGGCGGACCCCTCACCAGCATCCAGCGGGTGTCATTCGGCTGTTCCATTATTCGACTCAGGCTCGTCCCTCTTCCTGACTACTCTGCGACTCTACGACGCATCAGCCGGCGCCGCCACTCCCACCTCTGCTTGCGTCACCGGGGCAGGAGTGTAGCACACACTCCGGCCGCCGGGTGTGTGTGGATCCTCAGCGTCTTTAGTTGCGGCCGGCCCGCCCTCCTCCGACTCTAGCGGAACTCTCTCCATCCTCAGAGGACAGTCAGCCGCGCCCGACCCGTCCGGCGCCGAACTGCCCTCCTCCAGCCCCAGAGGCCAGTCAGGCGCGGCGGCAGTGTCGGCCGGGCCGCACTCGGCTGACCCTAGAGGACTGTCCGTCGTGCTCGCGAAGTCGGCAGTCTGCTGGGCAGCCGATCGGACCTCACCACTGTAAGGCAGCTCTGTCGGAGTTTGGTTCACAATGGGAGAGGCCCTCGTGGCTAAGTCGTTCCCAACGACTATTTCCTTATTGATATCGGCTGAGTCGGGTGTGACGTCAGCCGGTTCGGCTGTGACGTCATTAATGTGGCCTGTGACGATAGCAGACCGGTCCGTGATAGTAGACTCGTTTGTGACAGCATTCGTCATGTCCATGCCGACGGCCAACTCACCGGGACCGTGTGTATCCTGCTGTCCAATATCGGCCTGCCCATTTGTTACATCAGGGTCTTCACTGGCCTCAGTCAGCGCTCCAGTGACGTCATCAGTTTGTCCGGATACCCCTAGTGACTTCTCTGTACCATGGGATACTCGCTCGTTTGAGTCTGCCTGCCGATCTGAGATCAATATCTGCGTCTCGGTGTCGTCGTGGTCAGACATCTCAGGGGGCTGTCCGCTGTGGTCCTGTGCGTCAGTGGCGTCCCACTCTGGCTCAGTAATGTCCAACACGGGATAGACAGCGCCTGCTTCCGGCTGGGCTCGGCGGTCAGACTGCGCAGAGGCCACCACCTCCTTTACGGGCTTTTCGGGACTTCCCGCGTCATCCAGAGGTTCGACGGCCGCCTGGTCCGCCTCTGGGGCCGCCTGGTCCGTTTCAGGGTCCGGACAGTCTACCTGGTCCTTCCCTGAGACCGGACAGTCCGCCTCTGGGAACGCCTGGTCCGCGTCTGAGACCGGACGATCCGCCTGATCCGCCTGGTCCACCTCTGAGGCCGCCCGATTCCCCTCTGGGGCCGTCTGGTCCGCCTCTGGGGTCACCTGGACCGCCTTTGGAGTGAGACAGTCCGCCTCTGGCGCGGGACCGTCCGCTTCCGAGCCCTCCCCAGCCAACGCCGCCACCTGGCCTTCGGTGACGTCACTCTCTGTCCGCGGCGTCACCACATCTCGGACCAGCAGCTCGGTGGTCCCGCCGGGGCTGAGTAGCATACTGGAATGGTCCAGCCCTGTGCCAAACTCTGCATCCAACTGCTTCTGAAGTCCCGCACCAGCTCCTGGCTTCACTCCTGGTCCCAGCTCCTTTTCGATGTCCGTCTCCATTTCCGTTGGCTGCTCCGTCTCGAGGCAAGTTTCTATTTTCGTAGACTGCTCTGTTTCGATGTCCGTTTCAATGTCTATTGTCTGCTCCATCTCGAGGTCCGTTGCCTGCCCTGTTTCGAGGCCAGTTTCTATTTTCGTTCCCTGTTCCATCTGGAGGTCCATTCCCTTCTCTGTTTCGAAGCCCCTTTCCATTTCTGCTCCTTGCATGGTTCCGAGATCCGTTCCCAGTTCTGTTTCCTGTGCAGTGGCAGCCTCTCTAGACTCCCTCCCCGGACTGACGGCCCGGTCGCCGCCCAGGACCTGGTCAGCGGTCGGCGGCGGTGCGGGGTCAGCCCCTGCAGAGACGTCCTGCCCTCGGTCTGCTGTCAGCAGGTACTGCTGATCCCTCCCGGTCTCAGACGGTCCGGAGTCGGGTACTAGTGGCACTGTGGGGTCATAGCTGGGCACCAGCGGACACTCTGACTGCGAGCCGCCAGAGACGGGCGTGGGGTACGGGGCCGGGTGGGCGGCAGTCACCCCACCAAGGCCGGCGGCAGTCATCCCGCCTGGGCCGGCAGCGGTCACCCCGCCCGAGACGGCGGTGTCGGCAGTGGCGCAGTGGGCCGAGAAGACCGCCGTACGGTCGGACCGACCCAGCGTTCCCAGCGGCCCGTCCGAGGGGCCGCTGCAGGCCGGCGTCAGCCCCATGTCGTAGTCTGAGGGATAACACTGGCTGGGACCGGCCGCAGAGCCGATGCCGCCGTCCAAAGAGCCGCTCTGGTCTGTCAGACCCACTGTGAAGTCCGTGGTATTCGGCAGACCCAGTCCGAGCGCGTAGCTGTGGCTCGGCAGGCCCAGTCCGCAGAGCGGGTAGCCCTCCTGTCCGGTGCTTGTGGCCGCTGACAGAGCAGCTCCCGTCAGAGACAGGTCCTCGGCGGCGGCCGGGTCCCCGAGCTCGGCTACCGGCCAGAGCTGGTCACGGGTTCCAGCCGCCGTCATCCAGGGCGTCTCCTGCTCCGTCTGCCAGCCGGCCAGCCCAGCCAGCTGCGTCAGCTGCTGCTGGTACTGCTGCGCGCACTGCTGCAGGTACTGCTGCTGGTACTGCTGTTGGTACTGCTGGTAGAACATCCAGGGACTGCCGGAGTCGGCTGCGCCCAGCGGTGAGAACGGGCCGGCGGCTGCGCTGCCCGGCTCGGTGGTCGGGTCAGCGGCCCAGTCCGCGGTGGGGTACTGCTGGGGGCCGCGCGGCGACTGCAGCACGCCGTCGGTCGGCGCCCCCACCGCAGAGGAGGTGCAGAGGCCCGGCCAGCCGGCGGCGCCGGCGCCCACCAGCGGTGAGCCGCTCTCCTCGGCCGCCACCACGTCAAAGTCGTAGGTGGCCTGGTGACGGCCGGTGTCCGCGGGCCAGCCGACGGCGGGCGACTCCGCCTGCTCGGCCCAGCCGGCCGTCTGCAGCAGCGACGGGGCTGCCCCGGCCAGCCGCGGCGGCGAGCGGCGGCCGGCCTCGGGACGCGCCGCCGCCGCCGTCGGGTACAGGCTGCAGAAGGGTGGCAGCTGGCCCGGCGCCGGCAGCTCGTGAGGTGGAGACTGCGCCGGCGCCGGCCGCGCCGGCTGCTCGGCCAGCTGGCGCAGCAGCTGCGAGAAGGGCGTCTCCTGCAGGCCGGTCATGTAGAGCAGACGCAGCGGCGGCGCGGCGGGGGCGGTCCGCGGCGGCAGCCGGCGCAGAGCACCCTCCTCGCCGGGCCGCTGCTCCACGTCAATCTGCTTCGACAGCCAGTTGTACAGGTTGCAACTCTGCGGACACGAAATACGATATTAGCACAGTCCCACCCAACGAGTGCAAAGAGCAACAAACTACATATACTCTCTACTAATTCAACAAACTGCTCCAATCCTCCCCTCCCGCCACACACACACACACGCACATCAGCACACAACATGCTGAATCTGTCCGGCACATTCAGCCCAACTCACGACGTCCCCTGGGGTCTCGTACCGTGTCGGTGGCTGGCTGCTGGCGGTCGGCCGGACGCAGGTCCAGCCCCGGCTCGGCGGCACAGTGGTCCCGGGCGTGCGTGGCACCCCGCTCCGGCTCATAGGTGGGCTCCGGCCGATACGCCGACTCCGTAGCAGAACCTGATAGAAAGGGGTTAGCTATTTAAAGCAATGAAATTCGCTTATAAAAATACAAATATCACTATTATACAACAAAAAACAAATTTAGACCTACAATGGAAAAAAAGAAAATGTACAATGGAAAGAAATATGAAGTCCGCAGTTCGCTCCCAAGTTCCACGGGCTCCAGCCCACAGAGGCGGATCCAGCTCAGAGGTTTGGGGGGGGGGGGGGCAAACCATAAAAATTTATCGATTCTTTCCATGCATCGTCCATAGGCGTAATGTTAAAATCATGCCGTTTGGGGGGGCAAATGCCCATTTTGCCCCCCCCCCTGGATCCGCCACTGCCAGCCCATATTAGAAATGGGATATTTTGTACGTAGATAAGATACCCGATAATACATTTTGTCTCAGAGTAATTAACGTAGATGTATTCTCGCTTACGCATTGTATGTAGGTACTACGTAACAACGTAACACAATATTCGCATTGATAAATTTTAACACCCATCAAAAATTGCTACGAGTACGTAGCCGTCCATTTTACAATTTTATGAGGTTAGCAATAAGAGAGTTCAGTCATTAGAGGTCAAAGAATCACCTACATATAGAGTGATTCACGTCCAGAATGTAAATTCAGCAGCCTATCCTATACTTCCTCTGCTAGATGGCAGCAGGATCGAGCGCCTGAACGCAGGCCGTGCCGGACAACACCGTGCCATTCTATAAACCCTCCGCTAGATGGCAGCTGCATCGAGCGCCTGACGGTAGCCTGTGCCGGATGACACCATTTTTAGTCTATTATTTTTCCGCTAGATGGCAGCTGCATCGATCGCCTGAAGGTAGACTGTGCCGGATAGCACACTTCTATTCTAGTATATTATATCTCCACTAGGTGGCAGCAGGGTCGTGCGCCTGGAGGTCGACTGTGCCGGATTATAACAGCGCCCCAGTCTGATATTCTTCCGCTAGATGGCAGCAGGATCGAGCGCCTGAAGGTAGACTGTGCCGGATAGCAGCGTGTCAGTCTATTGTCTCTCCGCTAGATGGCAGCTGCGTCGTGCGCCTGAACCTACACTGTGCCGGACCAGATGACAGCCTCAACGGGGTGCGTACTGTGCCGTCTGGAAATACATATAAGATTTAGTGCCGTCGTAGCTTGCGACGACGTAGCTTGCGACCACGGGCTCAGCCCCGGCGACTCACTAGGGTGTCTGCCCAGACCAATGTCTCCCCCTATATCCTATTATCCTCCCGGCTCTGAAATGGTCCCATTGGACCGAAAGGGCCTAACCCAACAAAACAAACTAGCTTGCGACTCACTAGGGTGCCTGCCCAGACCAATGTCTCCCCCTATATCTTATCATCCTCCCGGCTCTGAAATGGTCTCATTGGACCGAAAGGGCCTAACCCAACAAAACAAAAAAAAAAAAACAGTCGTAGCTTTTAGTACCCGGGTAATTGTTCTTGCGGAACGAGAACGGTTGCTTTGGGCGCTCTGGGGATGCAGTGTCTAATTAATTCCCAATGTGTTTTCAACTGAAACAAAGTGCCACGAATTTCGCATCCGTTAGCGTTGGTGCGCAATTTAAGATAAGTTCTTTCTAAAAGAAAAATATTTAGTTACTATTAAGTGTGTGAATAATGGCAAAATGTCGTAAGTTTCGGCCACTGCAAGAAGGTAATGCCCCTAGGTGCCCCTCCTATCCACCATCGACGAATGTTATGAAACATCAAAGACCAACATGTTACGATGAATACGATGAAATATGGGTACTTTGTTTGCTCTTGCATTGAGTGACGAAACCAGAGCTCGTCGCGCGCCAAGCACAGCTTGGCACAACTTCTCCCCGCCCCCCCCCCCATTCTGGCGGTCTCTGTCCGACCAGGAAATATGGTAGAAAACTTAAAACTACAACAACGATAAAAAACGAAACGGGGTCCCTTCAGGATGCTGTGAGCTGAGCGTTCGTGCAGATTGTTTCAACACCCCAGCCCCAGTATATTTTCACCCAAACCTTCCCTTCCCCTTCTGCGGCGCTCACCGGGACTGCTGTCCTGTGTCGCTCTGGGGAGGTGGGCGGGTGCGGCGGCGGTAACCGGCGGGGGCGGGCTGTCACGTCCGGCGGCCCCACTCATCGGCGTCTCACGGTCGCCGCCCGACGTCAGGCCGTAGGATATCTGGTTCCAGACGGCGCCGTGGGACGACCACGAGCCGAACGACGACCTGCCGCACGGAGAGGAGAGTGAGGATCCGCTGGAAACTGGACGCCACGGATACAGCTGGAAATAGAGTTATCGGCATCCCTCTTAGGCTCTTATACGAGGCAGCAGTTTTTCAGTGACGTCTATGCGGTACTTCTATCATGAATGGTAATTGAGCAAAAATCATCAGCCATTAATTCCATTTTCTAGAAAAAAAAATACTAGAACGGCTCGCTTCCCTTGGTTACCCGGCGCGGTGACCGTCTGACCTGTAGCTCTGCTGCGCGGCCGCCCGCCAGTGACTCTGATCACCGGCCCACGGCTGGGGCCAGTAGGAGAGCGGCGCGGCCCGGGCCGCTCCCGGCGGCGGGTACGGCCGGTACCGGGCGGCCGTCTCTGTGACGCGGCGCGCGGCCACCGCGGCGCGGTCCTCACACCGTCCCACGGCGGCAAGCACGGCAGCCAGCGCCGGTCGGCGGCGCGGCGTGCCCGGCGCCGGCCGCTCCGCCTCGCCGGCCGGCACTGTCGAGCTGACCCGCCGCTCGCCGCTGTCCGGGGTGGCCGGCGTCGGCGACGACAGCGGCACGATCTTGGAGGCCAGCGAGCGGTACCACCCGCCGCCGCTGGTGTTGGTGCTGATGTTGTTGTTGTTGTTGACATCCACTGGTGAAGCGGCCGAGGACGGGCCGGGCGGGGCGGAGGGAGCGGACACAGCGGGGGCCGGTCGGCCGGAGCCGGCGCGGGCCGTGGTCGCGGTGGTCGCGGTGGTGGCGGTGGTAGTGGCAGAGAATGCAGCGGTGGTGGACGCGCTCGCCGCAGCTGCCGCAGTGACGGCGGCGGCGGCGGCGGAGGCGGGTCGGCCTTTGACCGCGGATGGCGGCCGAGGAGCCAGCGGCACCAGTGAACGGTCCCTGCAGGACGAATCGGGAGACGCCTGGCGTTTCGGGGCTGAAATCCGACCGGCCATCAGTCACTCAGCTGCAGGTAGCAATGACCCGCAGATGGAACTGGGGACCTCTAAATTTAGGGACTGTCGACTAGGTCAGGGGGACAACTTGCCTGGCAATATACGCTCTAGCACGAAATATATAGTCTAATGGCATTATTCTGTCGTTTGACTATACATTCCGTAGCTCTAGGCTTTAATAGTTAGGGTTTCCATGATACATGAACACGAAACATTTAATGTAAAAGTTCAATGTTGATAAGAACCGTAACTAACATGACAGAAAGACTTGCACGGCACTGTCCCACGTCTCGTGTGGCCATTTCTCTCGAACGCTATACTCACATGCCACCTGAGGCCGGGAGGATGGCGGACCGGACAGGGCCGCCTGCTTACTCGCCAGTCGCTTGGAGTTCTTAGCCCTGTGGAAGAGCAGATAACTACGAACGTTATTTAACCCGCGCCCGGCTGGGGGTCCTGGATTTCCACGCCCTGCTGGGGGGGGGGGGGGGTTTGAACACCCCCCCCCTTCTAACTCGGCTCCTGGGCCACGTAGCGATACGCGGAAGGCGGCGTTCGAAAGAGCGTCAAAAACAATGAGGAAATCACTTCGGTCAATTTTTTGGTCAGGTCAAAGGTCAGGTCACCAGAGGTCATTGAAGGCAAAATTTCGCCGATTTCCAGGTCGAATGTCGAAAATTTCCAAGAAGCCAACGCATAACTTGGGAACCAATAGAGCTACAGCGCCGCGGAAAAGCGCATTCGATAGCCCTATTAACGCCCTTTCTGAGTGATTTTCTCAGATTTGACCTAACGTCAACGGTTTTGCCTGCAGGGGGCAAAAACTGCAAAAATAGCCGATTTTTTCGGAAACAGTTTTTCAGCAATAACTTTTGATCCAAGCATTGTACGAGCTTACTTTTACCGGCATCGTGTTCCTCTCGTTAAGACGCATCGAATGAACTGTAACTTGACCTTGAAAGGTCAACTTGAAAATTTGACCTCAGGTCAAGGTCATGACCTGACCGGAAAGGGCCATGTTGCATATCAGTCGATCCGTATCGTCGAGCTGAACACATCTAAGGCGTTTTTATCGCTCTAGCATGCCTCTATCAACAGTTATTTGCGAAAAACTGTTAGATACCATTCGTGACCTAAGATGACCTCAGGGCATAAACAGGGGTCACAGACACCATTTTCATGTTCACTGTGTCTAAACCACTTGTAATTCAGTGTTTGGGAGTGTTTATAATGTCTTTCGTCCAAAAGAGGCGCATTTCAATTTTCTCCCATTGACTGGTGAGGTCGCAAAATTGACCTGACCTTAGGTCATCGATATCAAAATTCTGAGATATACATTTTGTACATGCTATTGCTCTTAGCAATCGCTGAAAGTTTCAAAGCGATCGGTCACTCGGTGTAGCTATGACAGACATTGAAACTTTTTATGAGGTGAGGTCACTTCGAGTGACCTGGTGACCTGACCTTGAATGACCTTGGTCTGAAATTTTTACAATATGTGTAGAATTGATGTATGATAAGGTGTACCAAAAACGAAATTGAGATATTCGCGAAAAACCACAAGGGGGGTGTTCAAACACCCCCCCCCCCCCCCCAGCAGGGCGCGGGTTAAATAGCGATGTGACGGAATATGTATCTAATATAACTGTGCCATCGCTGTAATAATCTATCGCGATTCGCGCCAACAACTGAGCGTAATAAAAAATTCAACATCGTTTCATGCTATCGAGCGCACAACCGCATTCTTATACAACGAATGTTGAACACAAGTCGCCACTCTCTGACTTACTCACTGACCACTCACCACTCACTGATACAACATACATTAGGTATTATCGAGAGCGGATCTAAATTACCATCTACACCAAATATTAAGCTAACTTCTACGAAATCATCTTTGAATTTGAAACACAAATATCGAGAGAGGATCTAAATTACCATCTACACCAAATAATAAATATTAAGCTAACTTCTACGAAATCATCTTTGAAACACAATCAGGGCTCTGCGAACTGTGGATAGGTGCAGTTCTTCCATTGCCGCTTCTTTGTGCTCACGTACTGGTGTCGAGTACACTGGGCGCAGGTGCAGCTGCGGAACGGACAGCGGCTGCGGTGGCCCCTAGTCAGCATCACGAGGCCGTGGTTCTTGCAGGCCACGCAGGTGGGCAGTCGGCGGCCGTCCACGCGAAACGGGTATGGAGAGTACACGCCCGCTGGGGGTACAGAGGGGTACATATACGCTCGCTGTGGGTACGGAGGGGGTACATACACGCCCACGGTGGGGTACGGAAGGAAATACAGAGGGGCACATACACAACGGCTGTTAGGTACATAAGGAGGGAGAGAGAGATACATAAGGAGAGAGAGAGAGAGAGAGAGAGAGAGAGGGGGGAGAGGGAGAGAGAGAAAGGGGGAGAGGGAGAGAGATGATAGATGATCTGACGGGACGAAGGTAGTACCTGAAACGTTATGTAACATCTTAGAAATATGCATTATAGGAACCACTTTAGAGGGAAGCCAAAAACGATCAATATGGTAGCAAATAGTCCCTCCCTCCTTACGGTACACTGAGCACTGAGCGGCGCAGAGACTATTTCGATCGTGTGCCCGCCCCGTAGAGAACCCGATCTTCTTGCGCCTCGCGGTGCGGCTCCCTGGAAATTGGAAAACACTTTTCGACCGTACCTACTGCTGCAGACATCGTTTAGCCCTCGCACGTGGGGGGCGGGGAAGTTGGATGCCCCTTCGGTTTTTTCAAAAATAACTAGTGCAAAAAACGACTGATCAGTGATCGCGACGAAACTTTCCGAACCCTCCTGGTGATTGATTTTGACCTACCGTTAAAATTTCATGACCTTGACCCAAATGACCTTTGACCTGTGACCTATTTCTCGAGACCATATTTGACCGGAATCAACGCCACATATTGTCACCTGAGGTCACCAATTCGAAACGGATAATGAAATCGTGCACGGCGAATCGACTGGTGGTGTTTTCGTCTCGACCGGCCCACGCCCAGTAGTTCCTGAATTATGAAATGGCTACAATAGGCGAAATCCTCAAATTGACCTTTCAAGGTCACCGATGTCACCTGACACCTGAGGTCATCATAATCCAAACGACAATAAAATCGCCTGCTCTAATGCGAAAGGTGCCGTGTTCGTCTCGGTCAGCCCAGTGGTTCCTTAGTTATAGGATCGCTGAAAGGCTGGCGTTGCGGTCGACGAGCGACGACCCTGGGAACGTCACCGTGTCCGTCCCCACTACGGTTCCCACCGTTCGCGGTCTGTCTATCCGTTCTGGAGGGTCGTAGGAGTGTCAAAAAGTGTCAAAATCAATATACCTACGTCAACTTTTCTGGCGAAGTGTTACGTAATCTGCGCTGTAGGTATTTCGTACAGTGGGTACTTATCGTCATAGGGCAGCAGAAGATGCAACATCGAGCTCACTGCAAACCTTTGAGCAACCCAGTCCCACATGATGACGGTCCCGTTCAAACCGACCATAGCTTGAGCTGCCACCTTGCTGCTCGTCATCATTGAATGTAATCACACACTCAAATAAGGCGACAGGCAGCAGACAGGTCAAGCTGAATACGGAGCATGTTGTATGCTCGCACCGATACTGACCTTTAGCTCTGCGGCGCCGTTCCTCCGTGGTGGCCGAAATCGGTGCGCTGGCCGGCTCCATGATAGGTCGAGGTCAATTGTCGGACTACAGGTCACCACACATTCGACCTAACCGCCCCCGGCCGGCGGTGTCACTGCTCTAACTGAGCTGCCTCGTGCGCAGAAACGCACGCAGCCCCTCCGCCATCTCCCCTCCCCCTCCCCTGCGTCCCCAACAGCTGACGGGCGGTAGACAAGGGGCGCATTTGGGGGCGCATCTCAACAATAGCGTGTAGTGAGCAGTGGCGGTGGTATGTGCCATTTCGATTTCGGGTTTGGAAATGCAAACCAATACAGTTGTGTAACTTGGTCAAACCAGTGTGTTGTTATGTATGCTATGCAAAGTAAGCGATAACTTCAACGCGTCAATTTTGGCGGTTTTCTGCTACAGACACAGCCCAGGGACAAATAACTGGTGACGCCCCTGGCATGGAGCCGTCGAGTGGCGCGCTCAGGTAATCTGATCCCTGATCTGATCCCGTCTGCTGAAGACGCCGAGGACGTAATCGAAGACGGGCTGTCATTGGATTCAGCAACCCAGCAGCAACCGGTGTTCAGTAGCCGACAACCTGATGGCGTGTATAAAGTTCAGGTAGGTTCTGAGTTTTCATCGCAATTTAGTCGCTCTCTGATTACCGATTAGCATAAAATCGCAGACTGAAATATGGATGAGATGGGCTTTGGAAAGCATGCTTGTTATTTTGGTTCACTTGCTTGCCAATTTGGTGCATACGAGCCAGCTGTGCATGTGCAACTATATGTAGGTATAGATAAGATGGGCAGGTGCACTATGTTTTCATGTTTCCGTTACCTCGCATAAGCCATGTGTTTTCTCTGTCCGCTGATGTGTGACTCCCAATCACAATACGTTCATGCCGTGGCCCGTGTGTGTCGCCATTTTACGTCTCAGTTGGTGATAAGCCTTGTTTTCATGGCCCCGCATGGGCGCCTCCCCAAGACAGTGGACAGGTCCCGAACTTTATTACAAACGCCGCAGGTGCGGACGTGCGGCGGCACCTATTCACCTGCGCTGCGCCGTCTGTGCCCCTCCCCCAGCGATGGGGAGGGGAGGGGGCGTGCCCTCCACGGCGGGGGACCGCGGTCGACTCAGTTCTGTCGGCGCCGCGGTCCGACGTGCGACCCGCAGCGCCGCCCACATTTGCAACTGGATCAGGTCAACCGCGGGACAGCGCAGCCACAGGTCAGCCTCGATCAATTTAGCGTCACCCAATAATGCGTCACCCAATTACCTATCATCCAATAATTGAACGTCACCTATATGCTTGTCCCGATTCGTCATTTCGTAGAAATGGTCATGCAATTTATTGAAATGTACCCAATATTCAACTTAATTGATTAATTTCCTTCTGGTCATCTAACTAAGCGTCAGCGATCCTTATTCTATGGTCCCTTGCCTACCGGGGTCCGTTCCCTCATACCGCCCCATAGGCCATATCTCGCCCTGTTTGGTATCTCATTCGCGCTTTCCGTCCAAGCGAGCCGTCCCGTATCTCGTCCCGTTTCGCATGGGACCGTTTCAGTGACGCGTCCAGTGACACGTCCCAGTGAACCTTCCAGTGACCCGCCCCAGTGACCGTCCCAGTGAACCTTCCATTGACCCGTCCCAGTAACCGTGTCCCAGTGACCCTCCCAGTCATCTTTCTCAAGGGTCCACTTTATTATAGGAGGTTCCATTGATGATAGTCGAGCTATAAATTTGACAAACTTCTTAAAATTGAACAATTAATTTTAATGAAACTTAATTTTAACCCGCGCCCCGCTGGGCTATTCAGCCATACGCGCCCTGCTGGGGGGGGGGCAGATTCTGCCCCCCCCCCCCTGTCTAACTTCCGAGCCGATGGTCGTAGAAAGACGTGGAAAACGGCAATCGAAAGCTCTCAACAAGACGGATCTTAAGAGCCCAAATTTTTTTGCTCAAGTAGGTCAGAGGTCAGGTCAAGGTCAGGTCAAGGGTACAAAATGCAAGTTTCTACAGTATCGGCCGTGCGTCGTAGTTGCCGAAGAATGGACTAAGACTGATTGCCCAAAACGTGTTCTTAGACTACCAAGACAATATTCGTTGCATATAATGTCATTCAAAGGTCAAGGTCAAGGTCAGGTCAGGTCAGGTCAGGTCACCAAAAACAAAATATAGAAAAGGGCATGTGCGACACATGCCCTTTTCCATTCGTCCTCTATACCGGATCCGTGAGACTCTAGGGCAATGTACATGAGAATACTGTTTTTATTATGATAGTTTATTGTGCATGTTTTTTTTTCGTATTTTATCTTTTGACTTCACCTATCATAGGGATCATGCCTGTTGGTGATATTATGCAATACAAGAATACAAGAATACATGTTTTATGGGAGATTTTACTCATAGAATTCAATAAGCACACTCAATAAATGATACGGACCACCTCTGGATGAATTTCAGGCCGAGGTCAGGTCAAGGTCAGGTCAAGTGAGGTCAAATTTTGAAGTTGGTTGCTAAGGCCTAAAAGGGTGTCTATCTGATGCAGTTTTTAACGACGAATCGAATGGTGCTATTTTTGTTTCCGTACGAGGTCTAGAACTTCCAGAAAATCATTTTTCAAAATTTTGTGTGTCGTGACGTCATAAAATTTTTAATAACTCCCACATTTTTGAACCGATTCTTCTAAAAATTGATATGTAGGCGCACATTGATCAGTTCTCTGACATATGTTCCGGTTTTTGATACACTCAAAATTTTGGATTTTATACCTATTTTCCCAAAAAAGTCAGTTTTTTTGAAAAAAAATTGGGCCAAAATCCAAATTTTTCAAAAAAACGTGATGCCATTTGATAGACAACGTAGAATTACGTATAACCTTTTTTGTTACGTCTTGTTTCCTTTAAAAATGAAGATGTTAGCGGCGTTTGAAATTTTGCCGTTTTTGAGGCGAAAATGGCGAACATGACGTCACTGAAACGTCAATTTCTCAAATATTTTCCGACGGATTTCGCTCAAATTTGCAGGGAACGTGTCAAATTGATCTATGATAAGGTACTGAAAGTTTGACGTTGCTGGCGTAACGCGTTTAGAAGTTATTGGCGAAAAAACGGGAGGGGGGCAGATTCCCCCCCCCCCAGCGGGGCGCGGGTTAATGAGACTTTAATTAGGCGATATTTTCTGATCGAGTATTTAGTGATTTTAAAAGATGCCAGAACTTCTCTAAAATGAGAATGCAATAAATAAGTACGATTTCAATCGATTTAAGCAAATGAACCAACTCGTATAATATCTTCTAAGAAGTTGCTCTCAGAGGCTTTCGTAGGTAACCTTGTAGAGCGAGCTTGGCACAAGGAAAAGCCGATGTGGTACCCCAAAGAGTCTGTTAGCGGATTGGGGGGAGGGGTGGCAGGGGCCCGCGTGAAATCATCAAGCCACCCTCTCCTTCGCCGCAGTCGCTGTATGGTCAGGACTGAAATAACGGAATGAAAGCAATACGAGCACACACAAAATCAACTGATTGAAAATGTCGAATTATCTTTTAGCTGGGGAATGTACACGTTACTCTAAAGGAATCATTATACTTACACTATGCATCGGTGGAGTATGGATTTTAATTTAAGGTCTAAGTCAGGTCAGTGACCTTGACTGACCTTCGGTGACTCTATGTATCATGTTTCTACAGTCGGCTTCTGGAAGCCCGTAATTTGAATTTTTCACCTAGGCAAGAGTCCCAGAAGTTGCAATTTTGAATCACTGAGAGCTAGATAGGTCGCTGGTCAGGTCACACCTAATAACATCAACGTTTAACGTTAAAATGCCGAGTTCCTCAGTATGTACAACTCGTTTGTCCCTCTGCTTCGATTTCCTATGAAAATAAACGTTCCTTTATGATAAACGTGGCATCAGCGGTCTTTTTTTAAGGCTGGAACATGGTCTGCTCACTGAACATTGGATACTGAGTTCGTCACTACTCACTACAGCTGAATAGAAGCCGATGCATTCTCGGCATTTTGTTTATGTTGTTGATTTAATCTGTATAATGTGTAACGATTTTCCTCGTTATTTACATACCGCTCCCTGGTTTAGGATCCATAACTACTGTATTATGCCGAAGTCATTGCTTATAAATGGATTCTATACTTTTCAGCACTGGCACGGAAGATATAGCCATATAGTCTAGACCGTTCCATGGCATTGATAGGTATAGGTATACCTACTTATGCCTTCCCGAGTCCCAAGGGTCTATTGCTCTAGCCTATAATGGTCATTGGTCGCTGTTCTCTGATTTTTTGCCCGTCTGATCGTTTTAAAGGGACTATCCCACCTTTAACATGGGGTTTGAGTTGAGATAGCCAAGTTTGCGGCGAGGTTCAGAAACCACTATCTATCTAGGTTGCAACCCCCGCGGCCTCTTGGTGTTGAAGAAATTCGTTCCCTTCATTTGAATCTTCAACATGGAGCGACCGTTAGTGTGACGTCACCTCGTTTAGTCATTCTGATTTAACCCTCGCCGGACCTATTGGTTTTCTACATACGCGCCGGCCGAGGGGGGGGGGCGGGTACGACCCCCCCCCTCGCCGTTTCGCCCCTGGTGGAGCTAGCGCGTCGCGGAAAAAACGAGCGTGTGCGCCGTTACGAGACGCAGAGATTGGTACCCGATTTTAAGGTCCTAGGTCAACCGGTGACCTCTGAGGTCAGGTCAAGTGCCCCAAGGTACGGTTCAGTTTTTGGTGAATAACTTCGCAAAAAACGGCCGCAGAGCGCCGATTTTGGCAGCATCGTGTTCGTCTCGCTCAGGCGCGTCGAATGATTCACTTTTTGTCCGGGTCAGGTCAACTTGGGGTGTTGACCTCAGGTCAAGGTCAGGTCAGCACCCCCAGGTCACGAAGTTGGTCGAAAGAGGTCATGTCGCATATCATTCGATTCGGCAGGTCTTCCTGAGTCCATTGGTGGCTTTCCCGACTCGCTAGCTCAATTTGATCAAGAGTTATTGACGAAAAACTAATATGACCTTGATGACGTCATAAATGACGTCACGCAAGGTCAACATTGCAAAAGTGACGCATCTAACCTTGCAAGGAGTGCATAAAATCACGATTCTGTGTGCTTGAGATAGTTGGAGATCGTTCCCGGCGCCAGAATAGCAGTTTTCATTTTTCCCCATTGACTTATAATGGTGAGGTCACGAAAATGACCTGACCTCATATGACCTTTAGGAAAAATCCGAGATATACAAGTTGTGGGACTCATAATGGATACTAGATCCTGCAAGTTTCATTTCCCTGTGACATCTCCTCTGGAAGTGAGGGCGTTGCGAAGTTGCTACATCTGAAGACCGTGCAGAGGTTCACTTATGACGTCATAGGTCAGTGACCTGACCTGACCCAAAAATGCGGTTGGTGTCAAAAGATGCGGCTTGGATCAAAGGTCAGGTATGCCAAGTTTCAGCTCTCTATCGCCAGCGTGTTCGGAGCTATCGCGAAAAAACCCTATGGGGGGGCGGCACCCGCCCCCCCCCCCCTCGGCCGGCGAGGGTTAAATGGGTTTGTTCGTTGAAAAATCGCTTAAAACTTGGTCTGAACTTTGTTGTGGTGCCTACAGAGTAAAAAGAATCAGCTTTATGACAGTAAGGTGGCCTGGGGAAGGAGGTAATTTTGAGCTGTGACGTCACATATTTGAAAGTTTGTGTTTGGAATATGGGAAGCCTAAGATGTTTAATGAAAAATAAATGCCAGAACCGTGTTCCTGGTCATCCAATCTATAAAGTCGGGCACAATTTAACTGGTTTTACCAACATTTTAGAAGGTGGGATGGGATAGTCCCTTTAAAGGGACCCTCCCACCTTCAGAAAAGTTTATGAATTGGCATGAAAGTGATGTCGCTCGGTTCAGAAAGAGCGAAAACGAATATCTACCAAATTTCACCGAAAAATATTCACCGGTTTTCAAGATATTAGACTTTTACTTTTGTTTACTTTTTTGGGATCTCCGCTGTTTCTAGCGACTTTATTTTAGAAGTGCGGCGTTTGCGGCAGATGTTGCGCGCAAATAGCATATACCACCGCGTGCTACAAGACGTTTTAGTCAAACATTTAAAAATCGTTAGATATTTGTGCTGACGTCACACATTCAGAGGGGTATTCCTAAGCATTAGCCCCTCTGAATCAAAATGCTTCAATTTTGAAATTCAATATTTCCGATTTAAGGCATTTCTCGATGTTGTGAGTGCCGAAACCGGTAATTGTGAGCCAGGGACCCCATTTTGGCTATCTCAACTCAAATCAAATGTTAAGGTGGGAGGGTCCCTTTAAGCGCAAAACTAAATACGGCACGAGACGAGCAATAGAAATGAATATAAAGTCCAGAGGAAAATTCAAGAGTAAGATTGGCATTTTCACCTGGCCAGCAGTGAAGGTATTTAGGCGACCACGTGAACCTTTCTTAAAACACCGAAAGCGATTAGACAGCCTCAAATAATCGGACTAGGGGGATGAGATGATGCTCAATCCCAAGCCCGATTCAGTCATGGTTTTTATTTGTACCTATTTACAAATTACAGGCGATTTGTGTGACGGTGGTGTTGCATTTTGATGTCGCGTGTTGGTCGTATGTCGTTTCTTAAAATTCAAGGCAGCTTTTTAGAGAATCTTAAAAAGGTACAAGTGGTCACAAGTGGTTATATTCGATCCATAGTCTCATTTCAACTACATGTGAGATATCCTTTTTTATCAAAAAGACGGCAAGTGGGTGAATGTAGTTATTCTAACCTAAAGAGCAACACATTCATGGTAACTAAAAGTGGAGCGCATTTTCTCGTTCATTCATAGCGGTCGGCTCCCGTATAAAATATCATGAACATCATGTATTTTATTTAGCGGTGTAAACTAGTATGGCTCGCTATACTACGCTGCTGAATCTCTTCAAACATTTGGCTCGTGGCGCCAAGACCTCCTGTCTCGGCGCGACACAAGACCACGAGCTGCCTGGTTTGTGCCGCAGACAGACTGTGGCTACCAGGCGACGGTCTTTGCGCGCTCCTCCGACGGACGACGACCGGCTGTGACCTGGCAGTGAGCTCTGGCCATCTGCCGTGACCTGGCGGCCGGCCGAGCCATGCACCCGGACACGGGCTCGTACCGTCACCTCCCGGAGGACACTGACCGCTCCGTCAGCGCCGCGCCGCCGTCACCGGAGAAGGATGCCGACGCCGGCCGGCCGGATGACGCGTCCTCGCCCTCGGCCGACGGCGACCACCCGGCAGCGGAGGCCAAGTACGAGCCGCGCGGCCAGTGGAGCAACCAGCTGGACTTTATGCTCAGCATAGTTGGGTACGCCGTCGGACTGGGCAACATCTGGCGCTTCCCGTACCTGTGCTACAAGAACGGCGGAGGTGAGTGCTGCTGTTGTGAGGGAGATGGAGGGGTCTCGAACAGTCCACTATGGTTAATGCTGAGTGTTCTGTGATCTGTCAGGGACGTTTCTGGTGCCCTACTGTCTGACGCTACTCTTTGACCTATGACCTGTGACCGGTCGGGGGCGTTCCTAGTTCCCTGTACTGTCTGATGCTGCTTGGTCAGGGGCGTTCTTGGTGCCCTGTGCTGTCTGATGCTGCTCTGTGACCGGTCAGGGGCGTTCCTGGTGCCCTACTGTCTGATGCTGCTTACCTCTGGGCTGCCCCTGCTGTGTCTGGAGCTCACGGTTGGACAATACGCCAGCCTCGGACCCAGCAAACTCTTCGAGAACCTCTCGCCGCTGTTTGGAGGTAGGCGCTCAGAAAATAGGCCCTCTCCGGGCGGGCCAGGTTTTATTAGGCATAAGTTTACCATAGTTAGCGATTTTATAACGCTGGAGTAACAAAGCTTTTACCGTTTTGTTTTGGAGAAGGGTTATGTGTTTCCGAAACATTTGCAGCGTGTCTTGGAGCATCGTAAAGTGAAAACAATTGATTTACTAGCTGTACAGGCTGCAGCGTTGATTTTTGATGTAGGTCAAAACAGGGCTGCGGAGTCGGAGTCGGAGTCGGAGTCGGAGTCGGTCGGAGTCGACAGTTGTGACCGGAGTCGGAGTCGGAGTCGGAGTCGATTTTAGAAACCCGAGCCGGAGTCGGAGTCGGAGTCACCGAAAATCTGTCGACTCCGCAGCCCTGCTAGGTCTGCGGAGTCGGAGTCGGGAGTTGGAGTCGGTTGGAGTCGACAATTCTGCCCGGAGTCGGAGTCGGAGTCGGAGCTGGTTGTTGAAAGCCGGAGTCGGAGTCGGAGTCGGAGTCGCCGAAAATCCATCGACTCCGCAGCCCTGGGTCAAAAGTATGCCTTGGGCGATTTCCTCCGCCTTATGCAGAGCATAAGCGATGAGAAGCCATGGCATATGTTTCCATGGAAAGCGAAGCACCAGTACCTGGCTCCTGGTATTTATTTACACCGTGGTAGCGCCGGGTAACGTCGTGCGGTGAAAGACAGAGTCCCGTTGCTGCCCTACCAGTCCGCTGCCCCCTGCTTCAGGGGTTGGCTACGGCATGGTGCTGGTGACGTTCTTCATCGTGTGCTACTACAACCTCATCATGGCCTGGACCATCTTCTACACGGTGGCCTCGTTTCGCGCCACCCTCGGCTGGTCAAACTGCGCCAACGAGTGAGTGTCGACAGTTCAAGGGCGGTCACATCAAACGAACAATTAAATATTGTCTTTCGCGTAGCTGGCGGACTTCCAAGTAGTTGGTGCAAATATGCGGAAGATCCATAAAGATATGAGAAATGTGTCGAGTGATGTTTAACGTCGTAAGTGATAGTTACCTTGTATGTTGTTCATATGGCCCAATGGCCACCATTTTTCGATTGAGGTTCAGTAGAGCTGGCTGATTGTTGAGTCAGTCTTTGTGTTTTGTCAGATATCTGACAGTGACGCAGATCGTTGAGTCGCTGGCTGAGTAGGCTACTCCATCACGGATATCGTTGTCTCGTCTCAGTCAGCAGTCTCGACCGCTTGACTTGTACTTTTTTTTATAAATTTAGTCCGAACGTTTTGAATAGAAGGATTCACGAGGACAGAGCCCCCGCTAAGCGAAGCTTGTTGCGGTGACCTTGCCCTCTACCCTCAGATCGCGGAATTCCGGCTCTATGGCAGAATTTGGAGTTCAAAGTTTAACGTGCGCACAAAGTCGCGCACGGCCTGTCCCCTCACTGACTTAGCCTGCCTGGCTACGGCCTGCCACCAACCGCAACCATGCCGTTCAGGAGGCTCATAAACGTCAAGCGCCCGTCGCGCTTCGAACCCTGACTGTTATAACCGGGAAGTGTATTCCCGAAGTGTATCGGGAACGCGTGCTCTCACCACGCGGAGTCCAACGTTCTACTGACTGAGCTACGGGGCCGGCAGCTTGCCTGAACTACTTGCCTTCTGCTCTGATCTCGCCGTGCCTATCGCGGTGAACCACTGCTCCGGCTTACCCCGCCACCGCGCAGTTCAGTGTCCCAAAATTTGCCGATCTGGGTGAGAACTGACACCCAAAACGGCCGCAATTTTCCCCTCCGATGCGAAACATTTGGAGCCAATTTTCCACTCCTAAAACAGCCCTGAAACGTTACTTTTAATATAAATTAATTAGCAGGATTATCACTCCCAATTCACATTAAATATCTAAGTTTGTCCCACGCTCACCTGCCGAGAAACATACCTACAATTCTTGACGCATGTACAATTCATGAGTAAGCATGTTAATGTCGGGTTTTTCACACCTGAATTTTGCACTCTCTTCATCATTTTGGAGGTTGAATTTTCCACTCTGACACCCAGGACCAAAATAAATTTTGGGACACTGCCACCGCGCCGGCCGGCAGGTAAAATAGATGCTCTGTTCCGCCGTACCGCTGTCCCGGCTCACCCCGCCACCGGCCGGCAGGTACAACACCATCAACTGCTTCACGGTGGCCGAGGAGCAGGCGTGTCTGAACGCCAGCCAGCATACGGAGCTGTTCTGGAACCGCACCTGCTACCCGATCGACCGGTTCTGCGCCGAGCACGGCTTCCGACAGGTGAACGCCACACACTGCGCCAGCGCCGCCGAGCCGGCGCGGCCGCCGCTGCCGTTCGCAGAGATCGGCAGTCGCATCTCGGCCAGCGAGGACTACTTCACGTGAGTGACCACCAGCGCCCCTGCTGGCGAGAGCCTTCGCTGGGAGCGCTGGCCGCAGTATTGCATGTCGCACAGACCGGTTTGAATGGACGAGATCCTCAGACGGTTCTGCGCTTTGATGGTAGATTATGGCTCCTACGAATATGTACGAGTATGTATGCCACATTGCGTGTTTCATCACAGTGAACAGGGTTCGCTACAGTAAGGTCGTGCTGATCTGACCTAGTCAGGCCGGCCGGGTCGGGTCAGGTAAGTTCGAGGTGCGGACACTATCGGCGGCTCTAGATAGGTGGGAATGCGGTGCTATCGGTGACACACACTCTGTGTGCTGAGCCGTAGGCGGCCGATAAGATAGCCGGCGGACTGGCGGCGGCGGCCGTCGGCCGGCAGACCCGCCCCGCACCGTGCCCAGAGCGCCCGCTTCTGCCTTCCGTCGACTCCAGCCCGCCAGCAGCCATGTCGAGACACGAGCGCGAGCGAGGTGGCCTCGGCAACCTGATCAAGTACTCGTTCGGCTTTGTGAACCTGCTGATTTTCGTAGGCGGCGCGCTGCTGCTGGGGTTCGGCGCGGCGGCGCTGTCCGGTGACAACTCGGCCTTCAGCGACATCGTGTCAGCCAGCCTGTACACAGGCACCGCAGTGCTCATCATCGTGGCCGGCAGCTTCGTCGTCATCGTCAGCTTCTTCGGCTGCTGCGGCGCGTTCCGCGAGAGCCGCTGCATGCTGGCCACCTTCTTCTGTCTGGTGCTGCTACTGTTCGTGCTCACACTGTCGGCCGCCATCGCTAGCTTCGTGTTCGGCGGAGATAGCATCACCACTTCGCTGCGTGACGCCATGACCAAGTCGCTGGATAACTATAAGGACGGCGAGCCGGCGGCCGTGGCCGCCTGGGACACCGTCCAGCAGGACTTCCAGTGCTGCGGCGTCAACGGCTTCCAGGACTACCGCGACACCGAGATTCCCGACTCGTGCTTCGACAACATGGACCGGGACAACCCCGTCAACCTGCACATTAACGGCTGCTTTGACGAGACGCTGCGCTTCATCGAGGAGAACAGCGCGCTGCTGGGTGGCATCGCCATGGGCGCCTCCGTCTTCCTTCTGATGGCCATGGTGGCATCCTGCTTCCTGATGCGCACTGTCGAGTGAGCGGCTGCCGAGGGAGGGAGGACGCTGCACGGCGCTGTGCAAGTGGGGCAGAGACTGGAGTCACCTCCGCTGGGTGACACGCGCTGACCCCGGCGCGAGGATGTGCAGGCGGATGGTTTAAATGGTGAGACGGACTGCGGAGAGAGGCGTGCGGTGCCGAGTGGAGGCTGATTTGAATGCGTGGCTGAATGGAATGGTTGGACATTGCGGTGTTATTGGTGTACAAATGTCCCGCAGTGGTTTAGTGGGTGATGTGTTGGATGATTGGCGCTGACGGGGGGGGGGGGGGGGGGGCAGTTAGTTTCATACTGGAATGTGTTCCATAGATGGAACTGTGGAGCCAATGTGCGTGCTCCGAGAATGCTGCTCCTAGCCGTTAGAGTGTGAGTCTGGGTGGTGCCCCTGTGCTGTGTCCCGGCAGCTGTCCTGTACCGTCGATGAGCCCGTGTCCAGACTTGTGGACCTCAGGTCACGTCTAGTGTGACATCCGGCTGGTTGAGCGGAACGTCTGTGAGACTAGTCAGTAGTCACGTCAACGTCGGTGCGACCGACATAGCCAGGCTCCAGGTGAACCCAGCCCGGGCGATGTGTGACACTGACTAGTCGTCGTCCGTGCTTTGTTACGACTTTCATGTCGTGTCATATCAGTAAGCTATCACATCATCATAAATACACTTTACTGAGATAATATCGTGATCCATAACAAATGCATAGGTCGTATCGAGAACTTTACTTGTCGGAGACGACGATCTTTTCGAGATTTTAGTCAATGCAGCGAGATACACTGTGGACCGAATCAAACAATGCCATTTCGAATAGGTCGTCACATAGACCTCCGTACACCCCTGCAGAGGTCTATGTACAGAGGCCTATGGTCGTCAGTATAATATTTCTTCCTTTATGCGTAGGTACCTTTTAGAGGACCATCGTAGTATGAAGAGCAGCATATATGCATTGTGTGTACACATTGGCTAACTACTCGTACCTACATGCTTGTCTAGCCTTTTAGAGCGAAGATACCGACACTGCGCAATGCGCGCTCAATTAAGCCTTACTACGTCCGTAGGTGTAGCGTAGCATATGTGACTTTTAGGTGTGCCATAGCCTCATAGGCCATGGGTGTGCCGAAGGTCATGAGTGTGCTAAACGCCTGCGAACAGCTCCTGAGATTGGCGGAAATGTTAGAACCATTCATGAGAAAAAATAAATGCTACCGTCACCCATCTCTTATCTTTGGCTCCCGTTTTATTGCGACATGCGGCGTCGCAGCTTCACCCGGGCTGAGCACAAAGACTGTCGTTTGTCACGTGCCGGTGCTGTTGCGCAGCGCGGTTACTCAGCCTCTCTCGAGTCCGAAGGCGATCGCTGAAGTGCCGCGGCTATCTCAGCCCCAGCAGGCCGGTGTAAAGGTGCAGATAAAGGTGCACTCTAGCCTTGGGTGCAGATAGACGTCCCCGGCATTGCGGCAGATCGCGACAGCGTCCGATCTGTTCGGTCTTTATGAAGAGCTGCACCCAAAAGAAAAACCAAGCCGAGCACCGACGCGACCGCGGCTCTGCTCCCCGTTCAGCCCAACTGTTCCTTCATTTGTGAAGGCGGCTGAAATTATGTATACGTCTCGACTTTTTCCATCGTCTTTTGACAGGAAAAACATACCAAAGCCAGACACGATTTGAAAGGACCATTAGAGGTTCAAAGCACAAAGTATTTTCCGGTCGGTTTTTTTGGAGCTTGTTTGACAGTGAATCCGCCGGCTCTCTATTTTGTAGTATCATTTGGTCACATAATACAACATATAATCCGTTAACATTATGCGCTTCTCGACTTGATTACCTAGCCGTGTCGTTGCTCCCTTCCCTACTATCTCTGTATCGGCTGTCCGGGCAGGAACTATGTGCTGGGCCTGTTCGACCACTGGTGGGACGACTACGGCACCCTCAAGTGGGACCTGTGTCTGTGCCTGCTGGCCGCCTGGCTGATCGTCGGACTGTGCCTGATCCGCGGCGTCAAGTCGTCCGGCAAGGTGGTCTACTTCACGGCCGTCTTCCCCTATTTCGTGCTGGTCATCCTGCTGGTGCGCGGTCAGTGCGCCGACGGGGGGGGGGGGGTTGCGGTCCGGTCAGTGTATTAGAGAGGGAGGGGCTTCCAGTGCGCCGGAAGGGAGGGGGCGGTCCGGTCAGTGCGCCGGAGGCGGGAGGGGGACAGACCTGGTTGCTGGTCAGAGGTCAACGCCGGGGAGAAGGGGTGACGATTTGGAGGGCGCCCTACCCTGGCGACAGCGCATAAAGGACAGTGTTAGCCTTAACCCTCGCCCTGGCAGGGGGGGGGTCGATGCGACCCCCCCCCTAAGGTTTTTCGAAGATAGCGTAAAAACGGCGGCGCGCAGCGCCGCCAAATTTGGCACAGCCTATGGGGCAACCTTTTTACATATGACCTGAAAATTTCAGGTCCGGGTGACCTTGGGTCAGGTCACCAGGTCAGAAAAACCGGTACAAGGTCATGGTCAAATTTCAATTTTCTTTTTGCACCTGTCCAACTCACAGTTTTCGACTGATTTCTTTCAAACTTTCAGGATGTGCTAAGTTCACCGAGTTGTATAACATACATTCCGGCTTTTTTGAGGTCACTGACCTGAGGTCAGTTAGAGGTCATTACGTCGTAATGTTAAGCCTATGGGAAAATACTAAATTCGGAAAATACTGGAGATATCCGCTTCGTTCTATCACTTTTGTGCTTTGAAACCACGGTACTTAACAGCAGGTCACTTGGTGCTTCGTTGTTTGGTGTACTTATCCATGGGTCAGGTCAAATGAGGTCAACTGAGGTCAAATGACGTTTTTGCCAATAACTTGGCACATAATGACGCTAGAGCTTAAAAAATGGTACCATTGTGTTCCTGGTGATCAGCCGAATCGAATGATATGCGATATGATGCAGTTTGGTTAACTTGAACTTAATTTATTAATTTAAGTTTACTTAAAATTTAAGAAAAACTTTAAGTACACTTAAGCAAGCCAAAAAGTATATCATTCGACGCGCCTTGACGTGCTGAGTTCACTGATGCTTTTCTTTTTTCTCTATCTTTATTAGATCAAAAGTTATAAGCGAAAAACTTTTGGCATGTTTTTAGCGAAATTTTTACATTTATACCCCCCAAAACCCCCCTAAATATTGACCTAGAGCAACCAAATTTGCACAGGGGCGAGAACTCCAGGGGGCCCACCTACCTACCAAATTTGGTGTTTCTAGGTGCCATAGGAGCCAATCGCGAGGGGGGGGGTCGCATCGACCCCCCCCCCTGCCAGGCCGTGTTATGAAAAATGCCCTGCCAGGGCGAGGGTTAATGCTGAGAGACTGGATGATGTAATGCGTATTTACTTGCATTTATGGCGTGTTATCGCTGTTTTACATGTATGCCTTGTCTGCCCACTTGAACATTTAATCGGCTTACTTGCTTAGCTTTGCCCTTTTGCCATTGTTTTCTTAGTGATTGTGTTGTTGGCATCTGATGTCACTACCCCACTGCACATTGTGACGTCAGTTATTACCGCCGTGTGACGTCATTAGCCACCACAATTGTGACGTCACCCACCCTCCACCCGGCCACGCCGCAGGTGTGACCCTGGACGGCGCGTACGACGGCATCTCGTACTATATCACACCCAACACCACGCGGCTGGCCGACTCGCGCGTCTGGTCCGACGCCGCCACCCAGGTGTTCTACTCGTTCGGCCTCAGCTTCGGCGGGCCGATGACGCTGGCCAGTTACAACCGGTTCAACAACAACTGCATGAGGTCGGTCGCCGTGGTGTGGGGCGGGGTGTACCACAGGCTCACAGCGGACGGAGCCTGAGCTCACGACCAGACTGAGCCGTCTGCTGTGGCGTGCGGTCAGCGGGGGGCCCGTTGGTATGCTTATTCACCTCGGCAGTATTCCTTGTCTTGTCTGTGTGATTGATAAGTAATTTAATCAAACCTTCAAATGTTTGTCCGAGTTTCGAGTACAATTTTAACCCGCGCTGCCGATAGGCATTGGAAGGTTACAGCGATGTCATGTTTGCGTTGGGCTGGTCGGGCCGCTGCCTTTTCCGATAACATCGGCTCGGGCCCGTCAGTGCCGATACGGTATCTGAATTCTGGCCCGCCGGAGCTGCCCTGGGCTTGCCACCGACTATCTAATAATGGTGAAACCGGCGCCGGGCTTAGTAAGGGTACTGGCACATGTTTTTCGAGTGGAGCCAGTGCTTTATGCTCAATGAAAATATTGCAGTTCTTATTTCTATCGATTTTACCAGTCCATTCAGCATCGTTACTAACATGACCGATATACGCAATAGCATTGCTTGACGTGCTGCTTTAGCACAATTGAGGCCGTCTTATGCTGGTCGGTATAGCGTTATAGGGGTACTGCGACAGCTGACCGCTTACCGCACTCACACCTCTTCCTTCGCCCCTCACCACTCCCCTCTACCACTGTGACCGGAGCCGAAGGATCAGTCGCTCTTGGGGATATATCGTGTGTCTCTGTTATTTGATACCGCTCGGGACGGATCGTTCCCGCTATCGCCACGAGAAACGCCTCCTTAGTAATCCGAGAATGGGATGATCAGGCTTCTGTTTCGAATGTAAAAGAACACTTATAAACAGTGATTATTTAGCGTCATACGGCAGAGTGTGCTTTACTGTCTCGGCGAACATTGGTGGTACAAATGAAAGACGGTGGTTCGCACAAAATCACAGTAACAGCACTAATGCTGACAGTATTCTTGCTGTTTAGCAACTCAGTACATCTTGCCATCTATTTTCGGTCAGTCTCAGTTTTCACCTTTTGTGTGACCTTCCTAAATAAAGAGAATGCAAGATAACATGCGGCTCGTTTAGGTTTTTCCGTCTGTAAATAAGATAAGAGCAAGTAAAGATAGCGATGTCAAACATGAATGCATAGCAGTAATCCTATTATACCACATCTTTACTCAACAGTCTGCACAGCTCCCAGAGCCCTGGCTTCCGTCTCGGCAAGGGGACGTTCAGCGGCTCCCCCGTAACGTCTAACCCCGTCCCTCCCTCTGAGTTCTGGGACTTGGGTGTCCTCCGTCCGGCAGGGACGCCGTCCCCCCTCCCCCCGGCTCTCTCTCTCTCTCTCTCCTCTCTCTCTCTCTCTCTCTCTCTCTCTCTCTCTCTCTCTCTCTCTCTCTCTCTCGTCACGTCTTTGAGTGTTCTCTGAACGGCAGGGACGCCGCCCTGCGGCTCCCCCTTGCCCCCCCCCCCCTTGAGTTCCTCTCTCGTCACGTCTTTGAGTGTTCTCTGTCTGACAGGGACGCCATCCTGGTCGGTATCATCAACTGCGGCACCTCCGTGTTCGCCGGTTTCGTGGTGTTTGCCGTGCTCGGCTTCATGGCCAAAAGTCTCGGTGAGTATGCTGGAGCTGCCGACTTGCCGCACGTCTCTTTGCCGACATGACCTTCCGCACCTGTTTGTGTTTATGCATCCTGTAAGTCATCTCAGTTATGTGTCAGTGATGCGCACCAGTAACTGCTGATCCGAGTCCTGTCACAGCGTTCTTTGTCAGCACCCTGTAACTACTGCATACCTGACCTACCGCACCAGTTTCCTTGTGCTCGAACGCAGACGACTGGTCACGCCATGACTGTTTTGAATAAAACGTGCTCTGACGACAGCAGACTCACTCAGATCACAGATGTGTTTATTAACAAATCAGGTCTTGTTGAAAAATGCATTTGTATTATATTGTTAGGTCGCAATCATAGAAGCATAGATAGCAGACGCCGCCGCATAGAAGCACGGCGTTTCCTGTTTTGGTTGCCCAGATGTGATCGCTTCTCCCCGCCGGTCGTCGCACTCCTCTCCAGCGCTCTCTCTCCCCTCAGCTCTGTTTTGACGTGACATTCTCGGCGGTCGGGCGGGACTGGACCTCCCGGCGGCCCTTATTCGAGCCCCGGTCGGTCGGTCCGTGCCGCCGACGCCGCCCGGGTCCGTTCGTGTCGAGTCCCGACTAGTGATGTCAGTTGCAGATAACTTGGAAACTGATACCAAACCAAATACCAACTGAAAGCATGGGGAAATACCAAAAACCAACCAACTTGAGATATTTTAAAAAATACCATTTTATTGCCGAAGGCAGAGCAACTAATGCATTAGTGACTGGTGAGGCTTCATGGAAATCAGCAAACTAATACAAACGTTAGTTCTCGAATATTTACCATATACTAAATCGGGATCAATTTCATATTGTTATACCGAAAAACTGGTATCCGATTGGTATCACTTCCCCTCCCCACCCAAGGGAAGAGGGTCAGCAAGGCGGTGACCTCGGGGGTCCGATCTGACCTATCCCTCCCCCGCCCTCCCCTCCCCTCCCTTCTCCCCAGGGAAGGAGGTCAGTGAAGTTGTGACGTCGGGCGCCGGGCTGACTTTCATTGCCTACCCGGAGGCCGTAGTGCACATGCCCGTCTCGCCGATCTGGCCGTCCTCTTCTTCGTCATGATCATCACGCTGGGCCTGGATTCCCAGGTAGGAATCTCTGGACGGCTGGACTCCCAGGTAGGAATCTCCGGACGGCTGGACTCCCAGGTAGGAATCTCCGGACGGCTGGACTCCCAGGTAGGAATCTCCGGACGGATGAACTCTCAGGTAGGAGAGTCCCGCACGCCGCGGAGCGGAGCGGTGGGGCGGGACGGGCAGCTCCTGGGGTAGCTCTATGCCGCCGCCTGTTGCCGGTACCCGCCGCCTACCGCTGAAAGCCGCTCCCCGCTGCCCCTGTCGGCCCCCGTCGACAACCGATGCGGTGTCACGCTAGCCGCACCGCACCAGACTCTTCGTGCGTGAGCAGCCATGCGCTCATAGCACCGCGGGCCCCTGATATTTCCAGCGTCATTGTGAGTCGCCGAATATCAACCGTGTTTCCAAGCGACTTCTTTTTCTGAAATGTTCATGAGGTTTTGATGAAATGCCCTTACGTAACGTTTCAAAGCACAGCACGCTTTAGTCTTTTATGTATCCGCCTATAAGACCTACCTACATGGCCCCTGCATAGAGACATGTATGGTTCACTGAATCTTAACTGCCCTGCATTTACAATTCATGTGGGACGTGAGTGGAAGAGTTGACTCGCATAAGGCTTTCGATAACCGTTTCAGTTTGCCATGGTGAAAAGGTAATGTTCTGTTTCTGTTTGCCGTGGTAGATATTGGGATTGTGTTTCCTTTGCCCGTCTCAGATTGCGATGGTAGATAATTTTACGGCGATTGCTTCAGTTTGCTGAGGGTGAATGATTTAAGTTTTTACGGCGATTGTTTCAGTTTACGATGGTGGAAAGTTTAATTTACGGCGATTGTTTCAGTTTGCGATGGTGGAGACTCTGCTGACGGCCATCTACGATCAGTGGCCCAGTCTGCGGTGTAGGAAGGCCTCTGTGGTCGGCGTGTCGTCCGTGATCGGCTTCCTGCTCAGCATTAGGTGGGTGGGAGTGTGGAAGAGAGCGGACGGCAGGGAGAGGGAGGGATAGGGGACGGGGAGGGGGATGGATGGTACGGGAACTGACAGTCAGTAGTGGAAGTGGGCCGGCAGGGAGGTTCGACCGTTTGCAGTCGTTTTCAGGAAAGGGGAGTGTCATTATTCATCACCCATCACGGTGCGAAGGCTGACGGCGGCACGGAATGCGCCAGGAATCATTTTTAATATTTCTACTACGAGTATGCTATCGATCGCGCTCACTATATACCGTACTCTGGCATTCGTAATGCACTAACAAGCGTCTACAACGGCAGGTGAAGCCATGTGCTGGCCTTTGTTGTCGAGGGTGCAAGGCTAATATGTGTCAAACAAGCTAGTACTAGGTCGTTCAATAAGTAAGGTAAAATGTACCATAGTTCATTTATATCAGGAATTCAAGCAAAATCAAATATTCCATCTGAATCTTTGAACAATTTTCTACACAACCTTCGAAACTGTTTTTGGGAGTTTGGCTCATTGTCCGAACACGGTCGGTGTGAAAACATTGATGCAGCAGAGTTCCGTTCTAAAAATCCCCGGTTTGTCACGCGAGCCAAAATTCACCTCAAAATGAGTGAGTTGACCCTGATGACGCTATTGCCATTAGCAATGCTTGCTGGTGAACAGCTGGTACGATTTCAACAAGAACACAGCAGTGTAAGAGACAAAGTTCTAGAGCAGGGTAGACTTTTGCCCGCAGGCCTCTCTGGACTTGGCACAATCTGTAAAGTCGGGGAGCTGATTATGGAGACTCGAAGCATCTGTGTGACTTGCTTTCATTAACAGGGTGAAGTGTTATGTCGGAACAGTTCTAGGCATCATCAGATATGCTTGATATTTGCAAGGTCATCACGAGGCTAATAAAGCCAAAGAGCTCACTGAACAACAGAAGGACGCCCAGCGAGACATCAGTGTGGGATCGGCTTTGCTTTAGCAGTACAGGAAAGCTGAAGTACAGCCGTGACCTGGCGCCGTCCCTGTAGTGTATCGAGTACCTAGTGCATCGGGTGTCCGAGGCTCGGCATCGGGCCCCCGGTAATACGAGTGTGAGGCGGCCGCACCCTGCTCGGCTCCAGTCAGAGCCAGCAGTCGAGAGGCTCCGCCCGGCCGCACAGCACGACAGTGCCTTAGTGTTTTGCACCGCGAGTTTGTGAGAATACATCGGAATCCGGAGACGGCGGTGGACACTACAGTCCCACTTGAACCTGTTTGGATCACCGGAATCTTAACTGATCAGGCAATCGATAAAATAATCAAGACATGGCTTTGGAATAGCAATAAGGAGTTTTCCAAGCAGGATTTCAACGCCGGGTGGAGTGCTGGGATAAGCGCGTGCGCCTGAACGGTGATTGGATGTAGGTGCCAGTTCCGAAGGCTTGGGAGGCTGTCCGAAGAGACCTGCTAACAAATGCTTATAGCCAATTTGTAGACGATATTTCAATGAAGATATGTTGCTAGTTTTGTGTCGTTGCATCAAATGTGGACTGAAATACGTGTGATTTTACCTTACTTATTGAACAACCTAGTATGTGTTTAACAAATTAAAATGAGAGCAGCCTCATTTCGGCGGATGTAATCCCCTGGCCGTCCACCCCTGCCATGTCACAATCGGGTCACGTCACGCCCCTGTCTCAAGTAACGTAACCGTCGTGTGACGCTCTGTGTCCCGCCACGTCACAGCATGTGCGCCAACGGTGGCATCCACCTGTTCACACTGATGGACTGGTACTCTGGCTCGTGGTCGCTGCTGGTGCTGGCACTGCTGGAGGTCGTCATCGTGGCCTGGCTATTCGGCGCCGAGCGGATGCTGGATCTGATGCAGCAGAGGATGAACATCTGGATCCCGCGGCCGCTGCACGCCTACTGGCGCTTCACCTGGCGCTACCTGTCGCCGCTCTGTATCGTTGTGAGTGGGGCGTTATGGACGGGGATGCTGGGAGTCGGAGATCGCCATGCTGACGGCAGCTGTTCGTGGCGCGAGCCGGTACACGGTGTATGTAATTCGTTCGATTACTGGCGTTTGCGTTATGTCGAGTGTTCCGTCCCGACGACCGCGGTTTGCCGAATGCTTAGTGTTTCTTCCCGCCGTGTATCATTTGTTGATTATTCCCGCTCCACTGACCCAAAGTAACTTTACCAATACGCTGAACCGCCCCCTTATGATGATCATTGATCATTCCCTCCCCGCTCCAGCTGACCTGTACCCGCCCGGGACCCCCTCCCCGGCAGGCCATCCTGGTGTTCTCAGTGGTGCAGTACGTGCCGGCCTACTACGGCACGGGCGACACCCGGCGCGACTACCCTCCCTGGGTGAACGGCCTCGGCTGGATCATCTCCCTCGCGCCCATCCTGCTCGTCATCATTGTGGCCGTCTACCATCTGAGGACCAGTAAACAGGTGAGTGAGCTGTACCAGCCTTTGAGCAGTACACAGATGAGTCATACCAGCGTCTGAGCAGTACACAGGTGAGTCATACCAGCGTCTGAGTAGTATACAGGTGAGCCATACCAGCCTTTGAGCAGTACACAGGTGGTCTCCTTACCATCTGCGGGCCAGTAATGAACGAGTGGGCCGCTCATCAGTTGCGGAACAGTAGGTACAGGTGGGCCGTCTATCAGCTGCGAATAGTGAACAGGTGGCCCCTTTGTTTGTTTTGTTGGGTTAGGCCCTTTTGGTCTATCGAGACCATTTCATTGCCGGAAGGATGATAAGAAGTAGGGAGAGACATTGGTCTGGGTGGGCATTCTGGTGACTCGTCGGGTTGAGTCCGTCCAGAGGACAGGTAGCCCAGTCCCCCAAAACACTCACCGCACCCGGCTACGGGCCTGCTCCTAGCGCAGCTTCCCGCATGGGATAAAGTTACCCGTCCAGCCCGGAACAGGGGTTTGAGGCGAGGAGGAGAAGACTCTGACTGGCCTGAGGATGGAAACGACGGAACGGTAATGGCCGTCTACCGGGTGCGAACTAATAAAGAAAGTAACGTCTATTACTACGTCATACGGCTCACAAAGCTCGATCACAGATTCCATGGTCAGTGAGTAGCGATACGCTTTACAGGGTGTTTCATAATGAATGTCAATTTTAAACTGGAGAGTTCAAAAAGAAAAAAAAATGTGTCTAGCACGTGCAAACTTTCAAGCATTGTTGGAAATTGATGGACATTTTATATAAATAGCATTCAATGCCAAAGTTGTTGTCATTCCATTTTCAGAACGGGATATGTCGGGTTCACCTCGCGGCTCGCCGTGCTCAAATGATTAAAGGGACCCTCCCACCTTCAAAAAAGTTAATGAATTGGCACGAAAGTGATGTCGCTCGGTTCAGAAAGAGCGAAAACGAATATCTACCAAATTTCATCGAAAAATATTCACCGGTTTTCAAGATATTAGACTTTTACTTTCGTTTACTTTTTGGGATCTCCGCTGTTCCTAGCGACTTTATTTGAAAGTGCGGCATTTGTTGCGCGCAAAGCAGCATATACCACCGCGTGCTACCAAACGTTTTAGTAAAAGATTTAAAAATCGTTAGATCTCCGCTGACGTCACAAATTCTAAGGGGGCATACCAATGCACTAGCCCCTTAGAATCCGAAAACTGCAAGTTTGAAATTCCATATCTCCGAATTAAAGCATTTGTCGATGTTGTGAGTGCCCAAACCGGTATTTGCAGGCCATGGCCACCAATTTGGCTATCTCAACTCAAAACTAATGTTAAGGTGGGAGTGTCCCTTTAATACGCCATTTTCGAAAGAACAGAAGGCGTGGATAGTGTTACAGCTCGGAAGCCTCAAGAACATCTCCAAATTTATGAGAAAGTTTCGGCTTCACCTTAGAGTTAACCCTTCGCTTTAGGGTTCGCTTTAGACTTAGAGCAAGACTTCGTTGACTCCCCCATGGACTGCGAAGAAGTGCTCCGAGCCGTGCGCCATATCCGTGGACGGGCCCGATAGTGCATTAATCTTCACGGGGCTGTCGTGGAACCGTTTGTCTAGATAGAGAAAAGTGAACAGACAAAAATCAAATGTCCAAGTCTTCTGGTGTATGTGAATCTGAAAATTATGCAAATATATTGTTTTATATGACTAATATGGCAAATTTAAAATTGACATTCTTTATGAAACACCCTGTAGCTTTGCCCACATGGCATTAGATGCGACGCTGCTGCAGGTTTGTATGTTATAGTGATAGTGGTTGGTGAGGTGATTTAAAAGTTCACAAGTGCTTTAGTTTGAAGTGAAATACAAAAGTAATGTTTTTGTATGTCAATGTTGCTTGAATTCTGACTGATCCTGCTGGATTTGCGACTGTGAGTAGCTCGGACAGCGCTCCAACAGGAGTGTTTAAAGACTCTTTATAAAGACTCCTGTACACATTGTAAAAAATGTGTAGTTGCATTTTAAGCTCTTCTCCCTCACAACGGCTGTGCCGATTTTGCACTATCTCTATGGTTTGCGATACAGCCGCTGTCGATGGATTGGACCGTTGGCGGCGTGTGTGAGCAGGACGGGCCCGATAAGGTCTGCGTCAGTCCGGCTGCGGCCGATAGTCACTGCCTATCGCCCGGCTATCGGCCAGCCGGCCGGGGCGCCAGCAACGGAGAAGTGTCAGTCCGGGGGGGGGGGGGGGAGCGGTGCTGTTTCGAAGTAACGGCCGGGAGGGGGTGGGTGGTATATATCGCCTACAATGAGCTGGGCCTTTTAGCCGACCCCTGAAAGTGAACGGGCTACAGAACTGACGCTAGTGTCGAGTGCCGACCCCGAGCCCCCAGGCTGCAGGCCGTCAGAGACCGAAGGACGCGACAGCTAAATATCACATGATATGGTGGTGTTGACTCAAGGCTGATTCGCCGCGGGTACTGCATACTCGATAGCTTCCCTTTAACTGGGTTACGTATGTATTTGAACGGTAAGCCGTGGTTGTGTGTATTTAGTAAATATGTAATTTGCTCTTGAGTTATAAAGCAGACAGGTGACGTACTAATGCATATCTCTTGACAGACTGCATGGCAGCCGTCGAGCGATTGTACGTACAGTCCACATCAGGAGTAATGTGGGGTTTCAGTCATGGGTATGTTCTGCTTCTGAAGCTTAGGAACGATTAACCAGACTACAATGAAACTTTGAATGTAGCTTATATGTATCGTCACCCTTGCAGCTGCAACTTTAGCTATTGACATCTTCTTTTCGATCACTCCGCATTAAACAATCGCCAGTCAAAGCCAACCGTTGAGATTGGTAAAACCCTACATTACTTTAGCGGTGGGCTGTACCTGTCGCCTGCTCAGCGTATAACCCGCAAACAGCAGCGAGCGTAACTGCTAACGACATTTCTGCGTACAAACGCCAGCAGCGGCGATGCATAAATTTTAACATTTTGATTAGGACCTACCGACGCTGATAGCGGCGCTGTACCAACGCATATCGACGTACGGCCTACTCGGGAATACGTGTTGAAACTGCAGCAATCTGTAGTGCTAACTAGGGTGCAATTTAATTGTTCATGAGGAGCTGTGTAACTCATTCAAGATTGTAATAATTGAATGAGGACTTTACTCCACAAGAAATCGTTCGGGTCGGAGCTTTCGAATTGTATTACAAAGCTTCGTCAGCGTATCGTAATCGGGTTCGGGGGTATCGGTCGGGGGTATTTTGCGACCGATACCCCCGAACCCGATTACGATACGCTGACGAAGCTTTGTAATACAATTCGAAAGCTCCGACCCGAACGATTTCTTGTGGAGTAAAGTCCTCATTCAATTATTACATTATCCAACTCCACATCATGTCATTCAAGATTTGTAATGACTGTACTTGACTGCTTGTACCTGCGCCTGTGCGCATGCCGGTGAGTGCCTGCGACAGTATTAATATGCATGTAAGAACGTCTTTGAACAGACGACAGGTCTTGTGTTTGTGAGAGGTCTGACTAACTGACGGGACCTCCGTGGCTCCGAGCGTGTGTGGCTGCCTCTGACTGAGCTATGTGCCGGAGCTCTGAGTGAATGTTGATATGTCCGACTGAGCGAATGTGACTGTCTCTGACGGGGTGTGTGTGGAGTGGCTGTGCCTGTCTTAGTACCCGTGACTGAGTGTGTGTCTGTGTGTGTCGCCTGCAGGGCTGGCGGGAGCTGCTGGAGGCCACTGACGGCTGGTGCCCGGCCTCTGAGCGGCCCTCCTCCGCCCCCGCCCCCGCCCCCGCCCGGAGCGGACGGTCGGCGGCGGTTCACCCCGCCCTGCCCGCCGTGGAAACCAGCTCCACCGACGGCAACGGCGGGCTGGCCAACGCGGCCTTCGAGCTCGGCGAGACGGGAAAGGCGTCCGAGAAACATTCCAACGGCGCCTCCCCGTCGGCGTTCTGAGCCCCCCCCCCCCCCCCCCACCCACCCCACCTCAGCAAACATACGCCACTTTTCAGTCTGTAACGGGACATCAGGAACTCCGTCCATGAGATGACCGGTTGTGCAACAGCGTAGTTGAAATTTATCGCCTGGCGGCGTTTCAGCTGCGTTCGAAGGGGAAGGGGGCACTCTGAAACTGGTGTTTTATAGGTCTGTCGAATTGCTCGCGTGTCTTAGTTGGGAGTTGGGACAGCGGTGGTTGTGAATTGTGTCATGCAGCTGGGCTACGTCACCTATGCAGTTTCGGCTCTGCCTGCGGGTGATCACGAAACGCAGCAAGCAGTCCTGTGGTGTACCTATATCAGTACGACAGTATGCATTATTACACGTTGTGAAGTGAGTGTTAACAGTGGCGGTGAATTATTTATATTTTGGACAGCCGATAATATTGGCTCCCCTTTATTACGGTGTATAACTGTGTCTACTAACTCGTGTAGCGATGTGTCGCCCGTAACGCAATACACATTAATGTCTCCTGCGGCTGGGATGTTTGAAATGCGTCAACGAGTTGTCGTTTCCGCCCAAATCCATCTCACTGACACAGGTCGGGGAGATTGGTCCGACGGTCTCAGCAACTCTCTCTCTCTCTCTCTCTCTCTCTCTCTCTCTCTCTCTCTCTCTCTCTCTCTCTCTCTCTCTCTCTCTCTCTCTCTCTCTCTCTCTCTCTCTCTCTCTCTCTCTCTCTCTCTCTCTCTCTCTCTCTCGCTCTCTCTCTCTCGCTCTCTCTCTCCCTCTCCCTCGCTGGCCGTAACTATTCACTCGGTCATCCGTTCAGCACCACCGCAGACGGCGAGGGACGGCGGTGACGGTGTCCAATCGTGTCTCTCTGGTGTCCTATCGGAGGGACTTGCTGCATAGTACATTGATAAGATATGTCACTGCACGGCCGGCCGCGGGAGTGGAGGCGGCGCGGCGTGGCCATGGTTACACATGGGCACGATCGGGTCGCAGTCAGCCCGGTACAGACACTGTCCTGGGAGGGATGGAGGGGTATTCCAGAGGTCACTCCCGGCCCAGTCAGGCCAGCAGTGCTCCAATGAGACAGCTTAACCAGAAATGACAGTAGGATACTGCTAGTTTGAGAGTTTGTAGTTGAGGGCCTGCACCCAAACCTGCTGCTGCGGTGGCCATTGCACTGGTTTGCTGCGGCCGCTTGCAGTCTGTGTGACTGTCCTACGGTCGCGCACTCATTGCCAACACCGGACACACCCATCGGGCAGTCAAAGACCGTGTATTGCAACTGGCAAAGAGTGTCAGACATCGAGATTTACGTCCATCGAGATAGAGCGGAGCAGCGGGCGAGCCCAACGCGCCGACAGGGGCGCACCCCGAGCTCCGAAAATGGCAGTCGCCGTTGGCAGAGAACGCACCAAAACTGTCCTAGCCGCGCAAACTAGGACCGGATGCGCCAGGACGCAACAATTTAACAAACAATCCTGGAAGCCTAATCACAGCGCGAACACCGCCCCTCCTACAGACTAGCATGGCGCGGCGCCCGCCGACTCGGGCCGGCCGGACGGCGATCGGCCCTACTAGAATTTCTGCGCGGCCGGCGGCCGCTGGCAGTCTACTGGTCGCGAGGCTCGTGCGGCGCCGGCAGCTTCTCCCAGCTGGGCTCGACACCCCAGATCTGGCGAGCGTACTCGGCGATTGTGCGGTCGCTGGAGAACTTGCCCGACGAGGCGATGTTCATGATGGCCTTGCGCACCCAGGCCTCCTGGTTCTGTGGACACGGACAGACCAACAACAGGGCAGGTCAGACAGAGCAGGGGAGGTCAGAGACGGGACGAGATGATGCAACCAGGGCAGGGGAAGGACTGGGGGGTCAAATGACACGTCACGGGTTGAGAGCGGGTGCTGCCGGCCAGTCGCAGGAGATAGACGGTAGGCGGGCACCCGTGGCCCTGGGTCGGCCACCGGCGCAGTACAGCGTCCGATATAACATCCCAGCCGATTGGGAGCGCCGATAGCGACATGATTCACACGGTTTATCACTGGCCGTCAGGAGACCTGTGCTCTGATACCGCTCCGCTACCACGGCCGCGCACATAGCTACTGCGTCACGGCTGTTCACAGTGCCGGAACAGGCGTCACTCGAGATTCAGCGCGACAAGGTGGTTTGTCATCAGAACTTCCGGGATATCCGCGATAGAATGCTGATAACGAGCCCGTCTTTGTGACAAAGGGCGAAAATATCCACTAAAATAGCATTGGATTAAGTTTCGCAAGAAGTGCATATCGCTTTGAGCACAGTGTAGTAGGTCCGCCAGGAGTTAGTGAGGAATAAAGGCAGAGTTGGCCTTGGCAGCCTCTCCATGGCCTCTGTCTCATGGGCGCTAACATGGACAGGCCAGGCAGGCTCCCAGCCGGCTTGGACTGACTAATTAAAAGAAGGCTAACTGGCACCCCCTTCCTCACACACTCCGCTGGTAACCGATATGACCGTGCGACCTCGACTGCGAGGGACGCTCATAAGGGACAAGACCATGAGGGCAAACCGATACCGACGTTCTCAGTACGTATATCATTGCATTCTGCATAGATAACATGAACCATTCTGTAATCTGTACGAAACATTGATCACAAACAACTCGTTCATATAAAATCCTCAACTTAATCCAATGTAGCTCTAACTTAAACACTAAGGCAATCAGCCGACGTTGGCTTCGCTCCCCCCCCCCCTCCCCCAGCCGTCGCCGACTGACCATGTAGAGTTTGCCGACTTCGTCCTGGCAGCGGATGTAGGACTCGTAGTCGGCGAACAGCAGGAAGCGGTCGTGGTTCATCAGCATGTCCACCACGTCCTTGAACATGTTGATGTCGTGCGGCGAGAAGAAGCCGCTGCTGATCATGTCGATGCACTGGCGCAGCTCGGGCAGCTTATTGTAGTACTCGTGGGCGTTGTAGCCGCGCGCCTTCATAGCGTCCACCTCGTCGACGGTCATACCTGGCGACGGAGCGGTGTCATGCCAACGGTCATACTAAATACGGTCATACCAACGGCCATACCTGGCGGCGGAGTGGTGTCATACCAACGGTCATACCAACGGTCATACCCGGCGGCGGAGTGGTGTCATACCAATTACGTTCATACTAACGATAATAAAAAAAAACAGTCATATCAACAGCCATACCTGGCGGCGCGGGTGATGTCATATCTGTTCCCTAAACTCAAACTACGTCCATGCTACCGCCCTTCCAGCCATCCCCCCTTCCCCCCGCGGCGCGTCACCCACCGAAGATGAAGATGTTCTCCTGGCCCATCTCGTCCTTCATTTCGATGTTGGCGCCGTCCAGCGTGCCGATGGTGAGCGCACCGTTCAGCATGAACTTCATGTTGCCGGTGCCGGACGCCTCTGTGCCAGCTGTGGAGAGCTGCTCGCTCAGATCGGCCGCCGGGATGATACGCTCGGCCAGCGTGACGCGGTAGTTTTCCAGGAAGATCACCTGGGGGGCGGACCGGACGGCGGCCAGCGGTCAGTGGATGGTGGTGGCCATTGGTGCTTGGAAACGGTACATACGCCGGTGGGGACGAGGGCGCTAACACGACTATTTTACTACTTCCGTGTCATCAATAAATCACGATTAGAAAAAAAAGACTTCTCGACATTGAACCTCAAGCTCTGAATCCCAGTCTAATTTCATTCGCCGCTCAGAAATTTATATAATAGTCAGAAAAAAAACTTCCGCTTAAAGGGACCCTCCCACCTTCAAAAAAGTTAATGAATTGGCATGAAAGTGATGTCGCTCGGTTCAGAAAGAGCAAAAACGAATATCTACCAAATTTCATCGAAAAATATTCACCGGTTTTCAAGATATTAGACTTTTACTTTTGTTTACTTTTTGGGATCTCCGCTGTTCCTAGCGACTTTATTTGAAAGTGCGGCATTTGTTGCGCGCAAAGCAGCATATACCACCGCGTGCTACCAAACGTTTTAGTAAAAGATTCAAAATCGTTAGATCTCCGCTGACGTCACAAATTCTATGGGGGCATACCAATGCATTAGCCCCTTAGAATCCGAAAACTGCAAGTTTGAAATTCGATATCTCCGAATTAAAGCATTTTTCGATGTTGTGAGTGCCCAAACCGGTATTTTCAGGCCATGGCCACCAATTTGGCTATCTCAACTCAAATCTAATGTTAAGGTGGGAGGGTCCCTTTAACCCGCGAGTTGCTGGGGGGGGGCGTTAAACGCCCCCACTTTTTTCGCCGGGCCATAGCATAAAAACGGCGCGCCGCAGGCGCGCCAAATTTTGGGTACCTGTAGGGAATTGATTGAAGTTTATTGTGACAAAGTTTCAAAAAAATCGGTCGGAAATTTTTTGAGATATCGAGATGTTAGTGACGTCATGATTTCTGAGTTTTCGACCAAAAACGGCATATCTTCAAAAAATCATATAAAATCACAGAATAGACATACAGACATGCCGTAAACGCCATTAGACTGCCAATACCATGGACAATCAAATGGCTATCTTCGATAATTGATTATCGTTACGCATTTTCCAAATTCGTGAACTGAATCTTGGCAATTTCTCGTGACTACTTCAGGACCATGATACATACATTTCTTAAATTGAACTTTTTTAGCCAAACACGTACACATATGATAAAATGAATGTCACCATCGTGTTCTACGCCCCAAATTACCCATAAAACATGTGTCACAGGCTGCGAATATCAGTTTTGATTTTCGGGGATATGTGCCTGCCCGGTTGACCTGACCTTGACCCTGACCTATGCTTGACTGACCCCTACATGGAGCTGACACTCTTGTAGGCCTTATATGATGGATTGTGCACCGTTTTAACAGAGTTTATGACGAGAGGCGCCCATTGCGAAGTCCTGAAGTCCATGCTACTGAAAGCCCGATTTCAGGTGTTTGACCTGACCTTGACCCGACCTGTGACCTCAAAATTCAACTTTAAAGTACTCATCTGAAGCGTCTCGTCGCGTTCTTTCGTTTGCCGCCTCGTGCGTTTCGCTGCGCCTAGCGGTTCTCGAGTTATCGGCTGGGGGCGTTTAACGCCCCCCCCCAGCAAACGGTGGGTGGCGAAATACCCCAGCAACTGCCGGGTTAAACAACTGACGCCCATGACTGGCCGCCACTGTCTATAACCCCTCCACACCATCACTACCTTAGTCCCCGCCAAGGCTGTCCCACCTTGAGTTTGTCGCCGACCACGGGGTCGTTGTTGACGATGTCGCCCACGCAGTTGATGAGTCGGATGATCTGTTTGGCCATGTGGTAACCGGGCGCCGCCTTGCCGCCCACCATCACCGTGCGCGGCACGAACGGCGCCGATGGGTTCTTCTTGATCCGGTTGTACATGGTGATGACGTGCAGGCAGTTGAGCAGCTGCCGCTTGTACTCGTGGATCCGCTTCACCTGTGGCGGCGGTACCAGAGGGAGCAGTTGGAGCGGGGAAGGAGGGCAAGGGACAACAAGTATCGCTGGTCTGGGACATTGGGCCCGGAATCAACCGAATTCCGAGAAATCTCAGAGCAACAATGAAGATATCCGATGGCTCTCACATTGTCCATGTAGCTTACGTTAGGTGATGTAAAATACAGATATAAGAATACGACATAGTTCCACTGGCAGTGCTCCGTATCGCGGTCCCTCCTGACCTGGATGTCGAACATGGACGCCGAGTTGACCTGGACGCCGTACTGCTCTGTCAGCATCTGCGCCACTTTCATCTTGTTCTCCTGCTTCACCTTCTGGACGGCGCGCACGAAACCGGCGTCGGACACCAGCGGCTTCAGCTTCTCCAGTTGCTCCAGGTGGATGATCCAGTCCTCGCCGATTTTCTAACGGGCAGACACGGACGGACACCGCGAGTCAACGCAGGGAGGGGAGGCCAGTAGACTGAGCGGAGAGAACCGGAGACGCGAACGGACTAAAAAAACGTAGCATTCATTCGGCTTCATTTCTAGTCGTCAAGCGTTTGAAAAAAAAAATGTACCATGGCGGTTTGGAAGAAAGAAATACGTCATCAGACTAGCACGGGATGTATCGTTGTGATCAAACACGAACGCGACAGGCCCCCACCCGCTACCGAGCCGAGCCCAGCGAGCTCTATGAGGCCGCCGACAGCGCCACCTACGTCGGCAATGACGTCCGAGAGCCCCGGGTTACAGAGCAGCAGCCAGCGGCGCGGCGTGATGCCGTTCGTCTTGTTTTGGAACTTGTCCGGCCACATCTCGCTGAAGTCCTTGAAGCTGTGATGGGAGGGCGGAGGTCAGTCCGGAAGACCGGTGGCAGTTTGCAGTATGTCATGCATGTAATTGGTGGAGGTGAAGGAAAAATTACCGGCATAAAATCACAACAAAACCATCACCGGTAACATTTTGAGAAAACTTAACAATTACGTCGATGTGTTTTGAAAACAGAAAAATAGCAACTGCACTACACGTCTATCGGAGAGTAGCAAAACTCGCACATTTCTCTACAGTTCCTTGACCAGTATCACCAACCCTCAGCACCGACACCTGACCACACTCCCGCCGGTCCCGCCGTATCAGCGTCGCTCACATGTCGCGTTTGATGATCTCCGAGTGGATGGCGGCCACTCCGTTGACGGCGTGCGAGCCGACGATGGCCAGGTGGGCCATGTTGACACGCTTCTCGCCGTCCTCTTCGACCAGCGACATGCGCTTCAGGCGCTCCAGGTCACCCGGCCACCGGTGGTTCACCTGACGGCCGCCAGGTGGCAGGTAAGTCAGCGGCGCACACCGGTAGGGGAGGGGAGACGGTGGGGTTCGGGAAAAGGGAGCAGAAGCATGACGGGGATAAAACCATTGTCTCTACCAGCAGTTTGAGGATACGAAAGAATACGAGAGATGATTGAGAAATGAAGCATGGTATGCCAGTAGTGGATTTGACTTGGAGTCATGGCTCGCAAAAGAAATAAACTATCGGTGAACTGAATACTGATGTCGAGATAACATTCTGGTGTCGCGAGCACCCGCTCCCCACCTGTTCGAGGAACTTCCAGTTGATCTTGTAGATGATCTCCAGGTGTCTGGGCAGCATGTTCTCCAGCATGCTGACCGGCCAGCGCTCCAGCGCCTCCGGCAACACCGTGTGGTTGGTGTAGGCGCACGTGCGCGTCACCAGGTCCCACGCCTGATGTCACAAACACGCGCGAGTCATACGGCGCCACGACGGCGACAACGTCACAAAATGGGTGCCACTTTCAATATTAGGAAGACATGCACAGTTGAGATGGGTGAGACAGATTTTCTATTTACAGAGGCATGTGTTTGAGGTAATGACACCTACGATAATGTAATACGTGAGTATCGCGCAACGTGCTTATGTACATTGCTTCCTACTCTTTCAAGCTTACGACTTTTCCTTAGTCCATATGTAACGAAAAACGCCCTGAAGTACCGACTCGTAACTCGTTGATAATTGATGTGTCTACAAGCGGCGTAGGCTCACCTCATCCCAACCGAGACCCTCATCGTCCATGAAGACGCGCATGATCTCGGGGATGGCCAGCGACGGGTGCGTGTCGTTCAGCTGGATGGCCACCTTGTCCGGGAACTCCTCAAACGTGGTGCGGCGCGGGATCTTGGTGCCGTACTTGGACGACTTGAACCGGCGCATCACGTCCTGAGGGGGAGGGGAGGGGAGGGGTGGTCAGGGGGTGGGAGAGAGGGAGAGAGAGAGAGATGAGGTAGAGGGGAAGGAGAGGCGTGGGGAATGAGAGGGAAAGCAACAAGGTTGAGCTGAACCTGAATATAATTCCGAAATAAGAAGATACAACATGGCTTATCCCCACGTTAAACAAACATCACCAACCGTCGTAAATAAACCAGCTCTTTCTGCGTAATAAGTTACGTCAAACGAACCAGTTGCTCATATAAATCTAGCTCAACTACCGGTGTCCGACCTTCCCACATCCCCTTATCTAGCCAATCGGCTCCAGCCTGTCCCTTCGTCCCTCCATCCGTCCGCACCTGCACGGTGGCGGCCACCATGAAGTACTGCTGCTTCAGACGCAGCTCCTTGCCCTCGAAGAAGTTGTCGTTGGGGTAGAGCACGCGCGAGATGTTCTCGGCCAGGTTACGGTCCAACACCGCCTGGATGTAGTCACCGTTGTTGACTGCACGGCGAGAAAAGAAACGCGGCATGCGTCATGATGTCACCAGCAGAGGGAAAATATTTGTGTTTACGAAGTCAGCACAGTTACACCGACAAATACACCTACTTCCTAATGTGACGAAACGCAAACAAGCACACATCATCAGTTTCGAAAGTCAACTCCGGTATGCAATGCAATAACATTCTCTCGCCCATGATTGCCCCCATCCCACCCCCGACCGGGTGGGATGGGGGTGGGATGTCCTGACTCCTGATACAGCCCACCGGCCGGAGAACTCTGTCCCCAGACGTCTGTCAAGACAGCCTCAGATTCAGATTCACCAGCGGCAGCGCTGCTCGACACTCACAGAACTGGAGGTTGAAACTGGCGGCTGACATGGCCGACCAGAGGCGCAGTGTGTTGACCACGTTGTTGCCGTAGCCCGGGATGGGCGTGTCGTACGGCAGAGCGTACACCAGCTGGTGGTCACAGCAGAGTGGGCGTCAGAGGCACCGCAGTAACGGAACTTAGAACACGATGTCAATGATAGTGCCGCGGGGAAGGGAAGCGGGGTGGCAACAGGTCTAGGTGATGGGATAGGTGACTGGTAAGTTTGAGCCGCGGTAAAAAATTCAGGCTTGTAATAATGACGCAGTATGATCAGCAACTACATATGGATGCGTCAATTCCAAGTAAAACAGCCTTTTGAGGAATATTTTGTGTGTATAAAAAATCATAAAAATATAAATAACAGAAAGCTTTTCAGAACTGTACAGTTATGCCAGAGTTTCACGGTTGACGCGGCGCTAACTACATGAATAACAAAAGACTGGCGATGTTGTCCGTCATTTGGTAAGAATTCCTATGGTGCCCGGCACAGCTGCGACACCCAAGAGCATCGCCTCGGATGAACTACCGCCCAACCCTGGGCCGCCCATGGGAGTCATTGACACGGCTGACTCGCTGAGCGCGCAGAGCCGCGGCTCAGGTTCCCCGCTCGCGTCGGGCACCGTGCCAACTGCCAACAGACCCTCCCCGCTGCGCGACGGCCCCTCCGACCCACAGCAATAACGGCAAACAACAGGTGCACTGTATGGCACAGACGACTCGGCACAATCGGCCCGGCTGGAGCAGCGAGGACCCAACACAGGCCAGCGAGCGGTACCCAGGCCCACCGGACTGCCACTCAATGCTGCCGGCATACATCGAGTGCCAACAGCCGCCGTCCGGCGACTGGAGATCAGACGGTTCCTAGAAGATTAATAGCTTCATCGATAGCGACGATCGTTTCTTCTCGAACCAGTTTCACCCGCTTTCACCCGCTGGTACTATTTCGTCTCAGTAGCTTTCCCGGTGACCGCCCAGTCACCCGCCGCCCACACGGCTCACCTGCCGGTCGATCCATTTGCCGTCGTCAATGCGGCCGTAGAAGCCGACCGGCAGCAGGTACTCGGGCCGCTCCTTCTCCCACGGGTTCCCGAAGCGCAGCCAGTCGTCCGGCTCCTCCACCTGATCACACAAATGGGGACATGTAAAAGCAAATACGCTTTTGAGAATGGTCATGATGAAAGACTGGAATAAACGCCAGTAATAACCAGAATGTAGTCAGACCAAGAGCGCGTTAAAACCAAAATAAAGTATAAAACACAGCGACTGGAGATGGGAGAATAAACCTTCTTGCCGGAACCGTCTGTCTCCCAGCGAGGTGCCCGTAAGCAACAGTCCCTAGCATCGAGTCTCCCATCCCAGTTACTGCGCCCTCCCCTCCCGCACCACTGCGGTAGCTCGGTCGTCCGCTCCGCCGACCTCACCTGGCCGCCGTTCTTGATGCGCTGCGCGAAGATGCCGTACTCGTAGCGGATGCCGTAGCCGTAGGCGGCCAGTCCGATGGTGGCCATCGAGTCGAGGAAGCAGGCGGCCAGCCGGCCCAGTCCGCCGTTACCCAGGCCGGCGTCCTCCTCCATTTCTGCCAGCTCCTCAATGTCCAGGCCGAGCTGCCGGGCGCAGAGCAGGTGGGAATGTTATACGGATGACACCCAGACGGGCGCTGAGACCGGGTCGATTAGTAGGCCTCCTACAGGACGATAGTACTGAAGAATTGCGGGCGGATGGCGACGGCTGCTTCCATAGGCGGCGGAACGGGGGGGGAGGCACCGGGGCACCGTGCCCCCCTTTGATAAGGGCATTTTAACATTAGCCCTATGGGAGTTGCATGGAAACAATGGGACCAAAAGTCGGCAGTGCCCCCCTCCCCACTTAATTGAAGGTGTTCCGCCGCTACTGGCTGCTTCGACTGGTTGCAAGGGACATTGAGCACCGAATGTGGGAATATAGACTTCAACAATCGACGGAAATCGACCTTCAGTTGTGTTTCTAAGGAATTATCACGGCGCACTGCAGGATGCTGTCTGACAGCGGCCGCAGCCGCGGAGGCCGGCCCGCAGTGACCCGGTGTACTGCGGTACAGTCTACCTGTCTGCTACGGCCGTTCTGAATAAATTCCCACTTGTCCAACAAAGCCAGTTCGTCAGAAACAAATGGCTTCAAATTAGTGTGGAAAATTGTCACTGTTTGAAAACGCAGGTAAATGAAAGCACGAGCCAAACAGGATCTGTGTTCTTTTTCTTTTTCGCGGAGTAAGCCCGATGTTTATCCGTCCATCACCTGCAGCGTGTGGCTTGTGTCTGTGCGCCAGCCCAGTGCCTGCAGCGTCACCCTTGTGTCTGCCGACTGCCGATTGCTATGCCATTTTTGACGATAGGTCCGTACCTGGTACAGCGCCTCGTCGCAGGCGCTCTGAATGCCCAGGTTGACCATGGTGTTCTGGAGCGACCGTCCCATGTAGTACTCCAATGACAGGTAGTAGATTCGCTGCAACAGACGCCGGGAGAGGGGTGAGTCAGAGGGGCCCCGGCGACCGTGTTTGGGAGCGGGGCTCAGAGGGGAGGGGAGCCAGGGAGCCGAGCCATGCCAATTACACAATACACAGTGGTTTCTGTCAACATTCAGCTCGGTCCTCCCAGAGAACACAAACACTGCGGTGGTGATAAACAGACGGCTCTAATCCGTTCCGCACTGAACAGTCTGACGAAAAGTGATCCGAGCTGCCAGCTGCTGCAGGATTCAGGAGGCTTACACAGCAGCGGGCAGCCCTCGCGGCGGGCCGGGGCGCGCCAGGGCAACACACGGGCCTGCACGCGACGGGTCGGGGCAGCACACAAGGCTGCACGAGTCCGGCCGGGGCAGCTCGCGGCACCGCAGCGACCGCGCCGGCCCGCTGCCAGCGCACGCTCACTAATGTCAGCACACCGACAGGCGGCTGGCAGCAGGGCCCTGTTTCACCGGTGATAGCAGCACGCTGCTTTTACACGTGTCAAATTGGGTTTCCATGGAAACATCAACAGGCCCATTGCTCCAACACTACCACAAGTGTGACGTCAGCTCGCGCAATTTGATAGCAGCGTGGTAGCAGCGGCCCGTGAAACACCGCCCCGGTCTTTTAAAACTGGGAACAACAGCCGCCTGAGAGACGTGACGTCGGTTCAGGGAAGGATCAGCCCATGGGTACGCTGGTCGCTGAGTGAGGGAAACGATGACTGTTCCACCGCACAGCACAATTAGCATGAAATATCGTGGCTCAACAGCAGGAGCTAAGCATTGAAGTTTGCTGCAGAAGTGTCTCTAATCTATAAGATTATTGCTAGTAAGTCCGAAGAGTCTGTTGTGTCTATACTTTACTTTGCTGTGTCGTTACGCAATCTCATTTACGCATGCTTACACAGACCATTTCCAAGGAACGGTCTTATTTAATATGGAACGAATACATTCCAGCTGTGGTATACCTACCAACGTTTGCTGTTACAACTAGTGGGTTTGATCAAACTGTTTTGGAAACGTTCGAATCACCGGGTCCATCCGGGATGCACAAACCGCAGTGCCGCTGTCAATCAGCAGTATTTCCGGGTTCCGGGGAGAGACGTGAGGACGCGGGGTCCGATAGTATCGCCCGGCTAGTCACGGTGGCTGACCGGCTACGGGCCCAGCCACGGCGCCGGTGCGGCGGGTGACCCATGGGGGTCAGACAGCGGCGGGTTAGGTCGGCAGGTGAGTGTGACCAACGGCCACTGACGAGTCGGGTCACGGCAGCTAACACCCACTAACCACCGAGTGAGACTCGGAGTCTCGGATGGTAGCATTGCCGTTATAGCAGTGTGACTACCGAGTACTGGCGCTCTCTCGGTGGTTCGTAATAGTCTGCGACCATCACGTAGTGGCGTTTGGAGTTCGTCTCAGATCACGCCGAATATCAGAATATCGACAACAGGCCTTCAGCATATAACAGAAAAAGTACACATAACGCTCAGCGACCGTCTTGCAACTGGTCTCCAGTCGGGTAGGCAACGGGCGCAACTCGTTTATTTGCTTCGAGCTTGTATGAATCAAAAAGACAAATTGTGAGTTCAAGAATGTTTGGCATGTTCATGTTGAGCAATAAAGCAATAAACGAAACTAAAACTTGCGTCACCATCCCAAGAGTTATTTGTGCACAGGAACGTTAATGGACGTAAGCCTGCAGCCGTGCTGCGAGATTAGCATCAACTTTTTCCATAAACCTTAAGACCTTTGACCTGTCCCACTATTGGCTTCTATCACGTACCGGACGCTCATTTAACTAATCTAACTAACAAGCTAATGCTCTGCGACCGCATCCTTTTCCGACGCAGTGAAGCCATCAACGCGTGTGTCAGTCGGTAGGTGTCGCATCCAATCGCCATGTGCACTGTGCAGTGTGCAGTGTGTCGCTGGCAGCCCGCGCCCGCTGACGATAGCTCCGCCGACCGGCACGGCAGGGCGGGGAGGGGAGGGGCAGCTGAGGGAGGGGGAGGGAAGCCGAGAGGGTGCCGGAGTCCGGAACACGCGGCTGAGTGCCAGCCGTCGGTATTTATACACACCGACGCATCGGCGGGGGGGGGGGGGGACACGCCGACCGGCCGAACGGACGGCGCCTCCGAACCCTCTCCGTCGGGCCGATAGGGAAGCCGTCGCCACACGTGATCCGCTCCCACCAGGGAAGCAGCTCCACCGATACCGGTGGCTGTGGCTGACTTGGACACAGGCTGTGGGTGACACCAACGGAGCGATACCTAACTGAATTGAGCAAGTTATGCCATGCATATATGTGGGCTTCCGGGGTAAATTCCCAGTAACCCGTGCCCTGCTGGGGGATGTTTGAGCACCCCCCCCCCCCCGCGGCTGTTCGCGAATATCTAAAAAAAAAACGGCGGGCACCTCATCAAGCACCTTTTTCGCGCATGCTGTGAAACTTTCAGACCAAGGTCACTCAGTCGGGTCACCAGGTCACGTCAAGTGACCCCACCCCCTATAGTTCCAATGCCTGTCACAGCTACACCCAGTGACCGATCGCTTTGAAACTTTCAGCAATTAGTAAAAAGTAACAATATGTACAAAATATATATGTCTCGGAATATTGATACCGGTGACCTGAGGTCAGGTCAATCAGGTGACCTCTCATTATAACTCAAGGGGAGAAAATTGAAAGGCACCTCTTTTGGATGAGCATCATTCTCAACACTTTCAAACACTGAATTACAAGTAGGCATGACACACTGAACAGGAAAATGGCACCCGTGACCCCTCGTTAAGTCCTTGAGGTCATCTCAGGTCACGAATGGTATCCTACAGTTTTTCGCTAATAACTTCTGATACAGGCACGCTAGAGCGATAAGAACACCTTAATGACTAATGTGCTTGGCTCGACGCTACGGATCGACTGATATGCAACACGACCTTTTCCGGTCAGGTCATGACCTTGACCTGATGTCAAATTTTCAGGTTGACCTCTCAAGGTCAAATTATAGTTCACTCGACGCGACGCAACGTGAAGAACACGATACCGGCAAAAGTAATGTGACTGTCTCTTAAGTCCAAAAGTTATTGAAGAAAAACAATTTTCGTAATAATTGTTATTTTGTAGTTTTTGCTCTCTGGATGCTAAGCCGTTGACCTGAGGTCAAATCCGAGGGCACACTCGTCTCCAGAAAGAGGTTAAAGGGGCTGTCGAATGCGTTTTTTTTTTTTGGCTAGCTCTAATTATTGGTTCCCGAGTTATGTGCCAGCGTTTCGAAAAATGTAGAAATAGGCAACATTTTACCTTTGATGACCCCTGGTGACCTGACCTGACCTAAAAAAATGACGAGTGTTTTCGTCCTTATTTTGGACGTTCTTTCGAATGCGCTTACCGTATGTCGCTACGTGGCGTGTGCCGCTACGTGGCCCAGGAGCCGAGTTAGAGCGGGTGTTTAAGCACCCCCCCCCCCGGGTCCACGTCAAAACAGCTAGTGACTATTGAGCTAGTGACTTTTGAGCTAGTACAAAAGAGCTAGTGCTTCAAAACAGCTAGTGACAAAACAGCTAGCGCCAAAATAGCTAGTAATGCAAAATAGCTAGTGCATCAAATCAGCTAGTGACAAAACAGCTAGCGTCAATATAGCTAGTAGAGCAAAATAGCTAGCGTTTCATTATAGCTAGTGACAAAATCGCTAGCGTCGAAATAACTCATGGAGCAAAGTAGCTGATTTGTACTTAGTACGAGCAGCTGTTGTACTCGTAGATTCTTTCCCGACGAGTTCTTAGATTCTTTCCCGACAACGAGTCCCGACGGGTAGAATTAGGAGCAGAAGAGCACTGTTGTTTGACAAAATTATTTGGAATGCCAGAAGGACAGAGGACGCCGGACGGGATCCATAGGACAAACAACAAATTAGAAGCGTGGCACCGGGGAATTCAAGGCATATTTGACTCATCGCAACCATCATTAATGACATTTTTCACCGTCATCCAAAAAGAACAAAATCTTCAAGGTTCTGTCTTATGAAATTTAAAAGTGGCCAGGATGTTCCATAAAGAGACATTAATGCCAGATTAGTTCCTCTACTCAGACGCTACAGGGAAGGCATCATTAGCAAAAAAGAATTTATTCGGGGAGTAGGTTTCAACATCACTTTGAATGTTTGAGATGGCATATCGCGGGAAATACATATTTACAGTAATAGATATCTTGCATTTTCGAAGCGAAGTGAAGGAAGGGAACAGAGGTTCAACGAAATAGCAATTTTGGCGATAGATTTTTCGTCACTAGCTGTTTTGAGGCACTAGCTCTTTTGCTTCACTAGCTGCTTTGACGCTAGCTGTTTTGTCCATAGCTGTTTTTAAGCACTAGCTATTTTGCTTCATTAGCTATTTTGACGCTAGCTGTTTTGTCACTAGCTGTTTTGAAGCACTAGATGTTTTGTACTAGCTCAAAAGTCACTAGCTCAAAGGTCACTAGCTATTCTGATGTGCACCCCCCCCCCCTCCCCAAGCGGCGCTTGAAAATCCAGGACCTCCAGCGGGGCGCGGTTAAAAAAGGCTGTGCTGTGCCTTTCAGTCTGTGCCTTACTTGAAGCAATGTTTTTCATTGATATTTTGATTTTTGATTTCTAATTTCTCCTTTGTTGTGTCACAAAACTGTGTATCCCTAAGAATGTATCAGGTCGGGTTAGGTAAAGTAAACCAACAGCCATCCCGGCGGGCGTTATTAGTAGGCAGAAGCTTACCTACCACTACCGACACAGTGTATAAAACAGCTAAGGCTACATTTATTTTACATCGCGACCTCTGTTGCGGCGGGAGCAGGCCAGCGCCGTGGCCCAGGTCAGCCGGCAGCCAAACTGACGTACAGGGCGCCAGCATCGGCCCATCTCTTTGTGGTATCACATCTCTTCTTGGCACCACAATGACGTTAGATATTGGGCGTAAACGATCGGTATGCTCAAGGGTCGTCACCGTATTGTACGCGATTGCTTCCCAACCTTTCGGGACGGACTGGATTTGGAGATCGGTAAGATAATCCTCGCCGAACATGTCGGTTCTCTTAACAGAAGACGGACGGTAAAGCGTAACGGGGCCTGGACGGAAAGGGGAGGATTTTATTATGACCCTTTTCACCGTTTTTCACCTCATATTCACACATAGAGCTCCGAAAAAAACGAGCCTTTGCGCCGCTACGAGACGCAGTGACTGGTTTCCCAATTTGAAGGTTTTAGGTCAGCCAGTGGTCTCTGATGTCAGGTCAAGAACCCCAAATTAACCCGCAACCCACTGGGCAATTTAGCCATACGCGCCCCGCTGAAAGGACAGATTCTGACGACCCCGTCCAACTTTCGAACGGGTGGTCGTAAAAGGTGGGGCGAGGATATGGACGGGGAAACGGCAATCAAAACCTCTTAATAAGAAGGACTTTTGAAACTCTGTTTTGCCTGAGTAGGTCACAGGTCAGGTCAAGGTCAGGTCAAGGATAAAACTGCAAGTTTCAACAAACATACTGGCTTTGGAGTCAAGTTGGCGAAAAATGAAGTGAGACTGATCACTCAGAACGCGTTCTTAGGATACCAAGACAAATATGCATTGCAAATTGCATATAATGGCATGCAAGGGACAAGGTCAACTCAGGTCAGGTCAGGCCACCAAAGACGAACTATAGAACAGAATATTTACGATGCATGAGTTGTAGCTCATTTTACTCATAGAACTCAATGGGCAAATTAAACTAGTAATATGCACCACATTTGAAAGAAGTTCGAGTCAAGGTCAGGTCAAGTGAAGTGGCAAAGTCTAAAGCTGCTTTTTCGACCAAACAAGATGTCAATCTCATGCCCTTTTTCACGGCGAATCGAATGCTGGCAATTTTATTCCTGCGCAAGGTCTAGAACTTCTAAACAATCTTTTTTTTTAGTTTGGTCCATCGTGACGTCACTAAAGTTTGAATCACTTCTAGGGTTTTGAATCGATTCTTCTTAACCCTCCCTCACCCTGGCAGTGTCGATGCGCCCCCCCCCCCCCCAGGTTTGTTTTTGCGATGGGCGCCGAACCCTTAGTCGGATCATGCTGAAATTTTCAATAGCCTCTGGGGCATCCTTTGCGCAATTTTTGGTAAAAAAAGTGTTCGCCGTTCGGGGCAGGTCAGGTCACCGAGCTATGACGTCATAATAGGTACAGCCTCCGACCGTTTTCGACAAATTCGTACATTCCGCGTAACTGGACGTGATCTCATCGACAAGAACGAAACTATTCAGTGTGATTTATGTCAAATTTTGACAGGACACGAATCTTTACATTGAAAGCTGACCTTTCTAAGGTCAACCAAGGTCAATGACCTCGCATGTTCACACGCTGACCTCCGTGATATGAGCCGTGTTTAGTGTTTTTTTTTTTGAGGTCCTGAATCCGAATCTGTGGTTCAATTTTCACCTACACGCCTTCAAAACTGTTCCATGACCTTTACAAGGTCAACTCAAGTCAATTACGACCGTCCTCGCCGGCGGCGGGTATGACCTCCCGTGTTCCCGGAGACTACATCACGCCACTAATAGCTAAAATGCAGTCAACTATACATCATTCTGTTGCTAATTCGTTGAGAAACACGGTCGTGAAAGTTTCATGCCACTATCTTGCACAGATTCGCCAATATTGGCAAAGTAACTTGGAAAATTATAGCTTTTCCCCGCAATTTGACCTTTGACCTGCCATAACTAGGTCAAATATTGGCCTAGGGTAAAAATACACCACCAAGCGCGAGTACTCGTCGAATGGTCTTAGTTGTGAAGCGATACGACGCTTAGTTTCGAAACGCCAGGGGGTCGCATCGACCACCCCCCGCCCCCTGCCAGGCCGCGTTATGAAAAAAGCCCTACAAGTGCAATGGTCTAAATTAGAGAGTAGATGCACATGCCGTACTGTTTTAACATCTATTTCGACTTTTCAATGCATTCAACATTTTGAGTCTCATAAAGATTCCCCTAATTAAAAAAAAAAATATTTTAGGTTTCAAAAAATCCAAGACTCTGAAAAAAACGAGATAGGTACCTAGCCGTTTGAAAGGCAGTGTAAAATCACGTACTTACGCGTTTTTTATTTTTGTTACGTCACGACCCTTCAAAAATGAAGAGGCTAGAAGCGTTTGGAAGGTCTGCACTTTTTACATTGAAAATGGGGTGACGTCAATGAAACGTCACCTTCTAAAAAAAAAAAACGACAAATTTCGTTCAAATTTCAGGGAGCATGTCAAATCGAAGTACGATAAGGCGCTGAAAGTTTGATGTCATTAGCTTAGCTCGCGTTTAGAAGTTACATATTGGCAAAAAACGCAAGGGGTAGGTAGATACAGCCCCCCCCCCCCCGCTGCGGGGCGCAGGTTAAGGGATCGTTTTTTAACTTTTCCAAATATTGTTGCAGATTTGCAGGTTTGGTACAGGCCTGTTCGTTATGTTAAGCGGCGCCGAATGACATTTTATTTGGAGGGAACTGGTAGGTTGACAAAGGTGTTTGACCTCATGCAATATAATGATATTGCATATCATTTGATATGATTTGGCAGGTCGAGGTCATTTTGAGTCCTATTAGTAGTTTTTATGACTCGCTAGCTCAATTTTATAGGGAATTATTGACGAAACAACGATGATCTAAAACGAATTTAAAGATGTGATATATAACGTTACGCAAGGCTCACTACCTCCGAAGTTCCATCTTCCTGCGAAGGACTCCCTGAAGCTGAGGGCGTTGCGAAATTTTTGGACCGTGCAGGAAAAAACTTCACTTATGACGCCAAAGGTCGGTGACCTGAGTAGTAAAGTAATCTTGGGTGACCTGGGTGACCTGAGGTCGCTTGCACCAGCTCAAAAAGTAACCCTACGGATGCTCGGGCCTCGGTAGAATTTCGGAGTAGATTTTTACGGTTTAGGTTTTCGATTGGTTATCTGATCCAAAAGAATCAAAGTAGGTACCACTACCATTAAAGTATAAATCGCAATTTACCGAGGTATATGGGCATTTTGGTGCAAGGAGCTCAGCTTCCGACTTGAAAACGCAGTTAGTGTAGCAAAAATATTATCATTATGCTCATTTTACTACACCTGGCAAACACATCTAGCTTGAACCAGACGTGATATACTCAAACAAATAATTTTGCCCTCTTTCGCTGGCGCGTTCCGACCAATCGCGACTCGCGATAAAATCGACAGATAATGAAGCCAGCCCCGGGTCCCCTGTCCCCCTCGCCCGGGGTCCGTCCAAAGCCGAATCCATTAAATTCAGCATCGCACAGTTTCCCGAGGCATAGGTACCTACAGCGGCAAAAATCCACTATCGATCGAATATAACGAACTGACATGTATTCACCGAGGTAACATTTTACACTTAAGTCTGTAAAATGCCATAACCTAAAAAAAATGATATTGACCTGACCTGCGACCTGCGATGTAAAAATGCCAAACTCAAAGGGGGGCACGGTTTCCCGGTGCCCTCCCCGTTCCGCTGCCTATGCTCTGCAGCACGGCCCCCCAGCTTCGCAGTCTGATTGGACGTTGGGCGTTCGTTCGTACTGAATCTCAAAGTAGAAGAGTCTTGCGGCACAGCATATCTTCAGGGGTTTACGAGTGCTGACATCTAGGGGTAGGATTGGTTACAACGAGAATCGGTGTACTCATTCAAGGCCCGAGGCCGTGTATTGTAGGTATAGGGGTGTAGGTGCTCTTGGGCGGGGATGTATGCATTGCTGATTTATGATTTATGTACCACTGATAAGCTGATGTGTTGAAGCCATTCAGCATGGTTTCGCACAAAACTGAACACCAAACACGCAAGCGTAAAGAACGAAAAGGTAAATAATGTTTGTAGGTATGTAGGTATCACTATTCACTGGCGCCTTGTTGGTCAGGGAGCTGGATTTGAAGTACGGCGTACGCACCGCGCACGCTTAAATATACCTAAACTTCCTTGCTTATCAGTTGCCATCATAGGACTGCGGAGTCGAACGGCTCAGGTTGAAGCCTCGTCGAAGTCGATCGGACTCGGAATCTAATCTACATACCTACAATCAAGACCGTCGACAATCGGTACCTAATCTGAATCGGAGTCTGAGAGATAGTCGCCGAAATCTCATCGACTCCGACTTCGGGTTGACTTCGGGATAGTTCCAATGTCAAAGTTTAGCCTGCCATGACCAAACTGGCCTAAGACATAACACCTGAATAGTGCATAGAAGCCCCCCCCCCCCACCCCCAGCCCCACCTGCCTACCCAACCAAAAACGTACGTCATGCATGACGACAAGACGACGCATGAAATGACAGCATGAAATGAGATGTGACAGTGATGAGTGAGGAAATGCTTGATAATAGAGCTGCTTACCTTTGGATCCTTCTCATGGTAGTTTTGTTGAGTCCTTATCCACCTTGAGACCAGGTGATCACGAACTGTATGTGCCAAGGCAAAATAGTAGTCTCTCGTGGTCGCCACGTTGCGATCCTTGACTAGAGTGTAGTGCACATGTCGGTTAAAGGTCTTCTTAATGTCTGCCACGTTTTCCACTTGTGCCATACCACGCACACTAATTTGCTTGCGCCGCTCATAATCACTCATAGTTGGGTGAACTTTCGACATGATTGCGATGTAGATTCCAGTCCTCGACCAACACCCCGCGGATCACTGCAAAAGAGTGACCCCGCCAACCGCTCACGACCCAACACCGGTAGCACACTGATCCCGCCCACCCGATGATGAACTTGAAGCGGACAATCCCAAAACACAAGGTCAAACTACCCTATCCTCACACATGCGCCGTAGGCGGGATCCTTCTGCTTCTGCGCCCTGGCAGAGAATCAAAATTGAGAAGGGATTACCTTCATAACCTTTGATTATGGTCTTATGACGTCAGCAAAACTGACCAATAAAAGAAGGAAATAATTATTTGAAAGGTGAACAGAATCTTACAATCACTCTAGTCATAGCTTTATAATTAATTTTTGCCTTAAAACACAAGTAATTCATTGCAAGTATAAGAGAATCTTTCCTAAACACTGTAACTGTGGACTAACAGTAAAAGCTTAATGACGTCATTTACCTCTACTAATATTTGGGCAAGGACTACACCAAAAGCAAAACATAATCAGCTGGCGAACAGCAGACAACAGTATCTTCTTTGTTATTGGGCACCTCATTCCTAAAAGTTCTTACTTCGGTAAATGAACGAAGTAAGAACAGTAAGAAGAAAAATGTGGTAAGTTCAAAATCCGTCATCATAAATCAAGTGATCAAGCTCGGATACAACGTACAGCCATGTCTACTTCCTATAACAATGCAAAAACATCTCAACTCGAGCTTTGAGAATATAGTTGTAATATCTATATCTAAAGCTCTCTGTTCACGTTATATGAGGTGAGTACTCTGTTGAATATGTGCTGTTGAGGAACCTGAAACCTATTTACAAGAAATGATGATGTTGCATGTGTTTTTCGTGTGCGTCATATATGTCTATCACTATTCCTTCATGTTTTGACGCGAAACTTCTATATGGAAACAAGTTTTTCTTACATATTTTGCTTCCATATGAGGCATACTTCGCGCAGAGCTAGACGAAAGCGCCACACATTCATTTGTGCGTACTAAATGCTCTGAATGAAAGTGAAAGTTATTATTTGTTTTGTAAATTAGGTTGATGTTATAGGCGGATTTGAATAAATTTGAATAGGTTAGGCGTCCCGCTTCAGACATCATTTGTATACCAGCTAACCGATGTATCACCAACAGTCCCGTGGTCGGGGCAGAGGCCGAGGCTTTCGAGGGGCTCAAAGGGGGCAGGGCGTGAACAATCAGGTAGGTTAGCTGCGTAAGTCGTCCGCAATGGAAGTGCTTTCCTGTTTTAATTGATAAGGGAAAGTTCACAATTTTTGTTATGGTAGTAAAGTAAATCTATAAAGCTAAAGCCTAACCTACCTACATTATGCGGAACCATTCAGGAAACTGCATGCTTAGCCCACCCAGTGCATTTGCTATCGGCTGAACTGGATCTGTGTACCAATTTCCCTCAAAACCAGACAAGACTCAGCCCACGAACATAATAATTGCCGGAGGATCATGCATTTTGTAGCTTGGGCATGATTCTAAAGTTGAAAGGAGTGTTTATGATAAATTGAAATATCAATATAATTTGATATTGATATGCCTATTACCTAGTTGTGGCATTTTATTGGCATTGCCATGTGTATATTATCATATTTATTGCTTTTTCAATGTTAAATGTATTATTCATTCATATAGGATGACTCATGATTAATTGTCATGTTAGTGCTTGCTAGTTGCTGGAATAGACTACAGGGTCTGGTGTAAGTTTTGCCTTCTCAAAAAAGATGTGTTCTCTAAATTTATACGTAAGAGGCAACAATTCCTTTTAGCATCCAGCATATTCGCCACAAGCAGGGAGTTACGCACAAACAACTACAAGCTTGGCAGCCAACAACTGCTGACAGCCAGGTTGTGTGGCACAGATGGCTTGATTTTCGACGATGCCTGTTTGAGCTGTAGCCGCAAGGCGCTTAGGCTGGCCGCCTACTTCTGTTTGTCCAGGTCCTGCTGGATGATAGCCCAACATTACTCAATGAGGATTAGGTTCGGATGGTAGCCGGCTAACATCTATTTCCTTCAGAAGTCTGGCATGTTTGATTCACACCACTGCTGGGCCCTGGCAGAGCGATGAGGTAGCACAGCGTCCTGAATGAAAATCCATGTCGACCTTCCATCGACCACGCGTCGACTTAGAAATGAAACGTTGGAGGCTTTTGTAGGTAATGAGCCTCAGAGATCTCTTCCAATAGCGTCTCATGGTCCTGTCTGAAGGTGGAGTAGCCCTTGCGTGTAAGCCGCTTGGCGAATTTTGTCGCCAACTGGCCCCTCTTCCTGGCCATCTTTTTCAATGCGATTTCATTCACGGTCGAAATGGTGGACGAACGCCCAAACTGGAACGATCACCAACGCTGCCATCAACCGTATGCTTGTCCCACCAACGCCGAATTGTGCAGGCAGATGTCCCAACTGAGCAGCTGAATGGCATGCCATGCCATTTCGGTCTGGAGGATGCCGACTGTCTGGTTCCGCTCCTATAGAAACTTCAGACCTTCATTTTTCGACGCGGCCGTTCGGGTGAACAATTTGTGCGAAACTGGCCGTAGCTTTGTGATCCGTGACCCGACGTCCGTTCGCGACCTCACGTCCCTCTGCCAAGGACCGTGCAATGCAGAACCGTTATACCAAAGGGGTAGAAACGATTAGGGACCGGAAAGTGTTGTCATAGGTAGAGGACAAAACTTTTGCCGGACCCTGTAGGATTGTAAATGTGATGACAGTGATGGCATTCTTGAAGGTAGTTTTGGTGTAGTGTATGCGTATCATTTCTGTTACGGTGCATCCCCGCATTAACATTCTACACTGCCTTATTCACAGGGTCGCAGTGGTTTTGGCGTCAATGGTGGCCGAGTAACTGTAGCACCGCACCAGGCCTATCTACCTGCCGGGCCCCATCCGTACAACGCTGCCTGGCTGGATCAGGTCACTGACGCCTGGAACAACGGAGGTGCGTCCAGCCGAAGATGTCACATAGGCAGTGATTCTATCTATCTATCAATTCCAATCTCAATCTCTTTTCACAGCAGCCTTTGTGCAGAGGATGTCTCACATTGTTACACCTGATTGATGGGTGGTGGCATTGATCTTTATGTGGTAGCAGCAAACAAGTTGTTTGATGATAGAGTAGACTTCCCTTTGAGATTGAATTCGACCCTCACCAGTCACCCTGACCGTCCCGCACCCTGACCTACCCGCCCGGTGAGCAGGCGCTGGCCCGAGTCCGACCCTCACCCTGACCTACCCGACCCACTCTAACCTACCCGCCCGGTGAGCAGGCGCCGACTCGGACCTGCCGGTGGTGCTGTGGGACGCCTTCGGCAGCACCTCCAAGCCGTACCACCGCCTGCTAGACCTGGTCATCTTCAGCCCCGACTACAACAAGAACCGGCCGGACGGCCTGACTGCCACTGGTGGGTACGGAGGCCCGCGACCGGACCAGCAGACTGGTCTGGCACTCTCAGCGTCCAGCCAACTGACACTACTGGGGTGGGGTAGCAGACTCTCGTTTTGCGCCAGTGAATGGCTTAACACAATTAATTAAGAGTGGAGTGTTCACTTTTGCATTGAATTTATGTATGGTAGATCTACCGATTTGGTGATTTACTCTCTCAGTTTGCACCTGTTTAGTACGGCTCAGGCTGTGTGGGATGGTGATTGTCTCATTGTTTGGGATGCTCTTCCTGCCCTGTTGCAGTGCTGCGCGAGTTTCGAGCGTGGTTGGAGCAAGAGTATGACTGCGTTCACAATGTGCCGCACTCAATGCTCCACGACGGAATCCGGACATTGGCCTTTCAGGTGAGCTCGATACTAGCCTTACATCCCTTTACTCTCTCCGGCGGGTAGCCTGTGATTGGTTGGGGAGACTTTAGCTGTCTGTCTGCACTGCCAAAACGTCCTGTGTACACACTGTTGTTTCGCCAACGGGATGCAGTGGTGCTCCCAGTTGTAATTCTATCCCCACCTCACTCTCCCTCCGTGTACGCCGCTGGCCATGAAATATCGTAGCGTAACTGCTGCCCTGATGAGCTTTGACCGCCTCCTGACCGCTACCCTCACCACTGTCCTGACTGCAGCTCTTCAAACCATCTCTGACCGCCCCTCCCCCCCCCCCACTGACCGCTCCCCTGACCGCTGTGAAAAGAAGTCGAGTTCTATTGCTGCCCTGAGTCTGACCACTGTCCCTACCGCTGCCCCGACCGCTACCCCGACCTCTCCTGTAACCTTCTCCTGACCACTGCTCTCTGACCGACAGGCGATGAGCGGCCAGGAGTGCACGTACATCAGTGACGCCATCGTGGAGCTGTGCGACCTCAACGGGTCGGCACTCATGTTTGTCGACGAGGTGCACCGGGTGCTGCAGTCCAAGGACTACAAGAAGGTACGAACCGGACGGCGCGGCCGATCGGCCCGCTCGGAGCGGCGCGCTATCGCCAGGAGCGACCGGCAGCCGGACGAGCCACTTCCCGTTTCACGATAGTGCCCGCTGATTTTGCTGAATGTAGTAACACTTCGGTAGTGAAAAGAAGTCGAATCCTCATAAAGCCAAATGGATTGTTATTGCTTAGTCACGTAGAGGTCTGATATTCATCACATAGGCGGCGGAACGATTTGAGACAAGGGGGGGCACCATGGCTCAAGGAGCCAAACCTAGGGTACCCCCAAATCCTGTTTTCTCATCGGATTTAGGCCACTTATTTTTCGTCACAGCCCTGACACGATGATTTTTTTTATTTTTTTTTTACTAAACGAAAATGGCAGTTCACCCCCGTATGCAGGGGTGTACCTAATTTTATATCTCTTTGTGGGGGCATATGCACCCACAATCCTGAATTATGCCCCCACAATGATGAAAAAGCACCCACAAGTCTTTTACAAGGCTGCAAGCGTCCTTTCGAGAGCACGGTGCCCTTCGCATGCTCTAACGGCGTCCTCCTGACCGTCTCGCGTTCATGTACCGGGGTTACATGAGCAAGTAAATGCGTATCAGGAACGGATTTTCCTATTCGCTCACCATTGTAGTCCGTTTGTAATGCGTATTAACTCTGCTCATGTAACCCCGAGCATGGATAGCGTTTTTAATCATCACTCGGCGCCCTTCTGGGAGAATGGCGCACTTTTGACAGCACCGCGCCATTCTCATGGTCTAACGGCGCCCTCCTGACCGTCTCGCGTCCTTAGGTCTCTGTTCGCCGTGCATCCCTCGACTATTCGGCGCCCTTCTGGCCTCTCAGCGCCCCTGAACCACATATAGCGTTTTCAATCACTCGGCACCCTTTTACGAGAATGGCGCCCTTTTCATGATCTCAAGGCGCCCTCGTAACCATCTGGCGCCCCCACGTCCCCACCAACGTAGCACTACTGACTGTGCGGTGCCCTTCTGGCCTCTTAGCGCCCCTAGACCACATAGCGTTTTCAATCACTCGGCGCCCTCCTAAGAGAATGGCGCCCTTTTCATCGTCTCACGGCGCCCTCGTAAGTCGTAACCGTCTGGCGCCTCCACATTTGGTGCCCCTCCTACTGGATGGCGCCTCTCTACATATTTTTACGTCCTTCCGGTCAGTTTCCACTTTTAAGCGTGTATTTGCTTAGTCAGACACGTCACTTGAAGCGCCATTCGGCTAGCAATGTTATCAAATTCGGTGTTAATTTAGGCTCCCACATAAAGAATATCTATCGCGCCCCAAAACGGCCTGGCGCCGGGCGCCCCTACAGCTGGGCACCCACAATCATTTTAGGAAAATTACACCCCTGCCCGTATGTGTGGTTAACTTTAAGCTGATCCTCAAGTACCTATGTGTTTGTCTCTTCCTTATTGTCGTTTGATAAATTCCATTTATCCTACATGTATAATTCCCAAGAAGCCATCGCAGTACTAATCAGTGGCGAATCCCAGGGTGGAGGTCACATGTGTCATGACTTAGGGCCTGGGGTCACCACATGGCTGCCAGGAGCACCACAGGCCTGACAGCCGACAGGGGCACCACAGGCCCGCCAGGGGTGCCAAAGGCCTAGCAGGGGCACCACGGGCCTGTCAGTGGCACCACAGGCCTGTCAGGAGCACCATCGGCCTAGCAAAAGCACTACAGGTCTTCCAGGGGCACCACAGACCTGCCAGGGGCACCAGAGGCCTGTCAGGGACACTATCGGCTTCGCAGGGGAACCACCGGCTTTGCAAGGGCACCATGGGCCTGTCAAGGGCACCACAAGCCTGTCGTTGGCAATTTAGGATTGTCAGAGGCACCACAAACCTGTCAAGGGCACCTACGTTCTAACAGGGGCACCACAAACCTGCCAAGGCCCAGGGACACCACAGGCCTAGCAAGGACACCACAGGCCTGTCAGGGGCACCACGGGCCTGTCAGGGCCCATGGGCACCTAAGTCATGTCAGGGCCCACCGTAGGCTTGTCAGGGGGCAGGGTAGGTAGGTACCACAGTCTTTCTAGGGGCACCAGCGGCTTAGCAGGGGCACCAGTCATCACATGACTAACCAAAAATAAAGAAAAAAAAATGAAAATAGGGCACCACCAAAATTAAGTGGCCGAAATCCGTTGAGGTTTTAATTTTGGGCATAGGTAGGGGCACCACTTCGATTCATGAACCTCCCCTTTCCCGAATTTCCCGAGTTTTCCCGAATCCGCCCCTGGTACTAATACATCAAATTTAAGGGGGGGCACCTTGCTATTGGTGCCCCCCTTGCAGAATCCAAGGGGGGGGCACGGTGCCCCGGTGCCCCCCCCGTTCCGCCGCCCATTAGGCAATTGCTTGTAACCGACTATCCAAATCATCTCACATATGGTGCACATTGCACAAGGATCATTCCGCTGTTACAATGGTCCAGTACAGTGACCGCGTTCCGTAACCCCATGTTGACTCTGTGGCCTTGTACCCCGTGTTGACTCAGTGATTCTGCCCCGCGACCCCAGGCGTGTCAGCTGGCTACCCGTTTGAGGCTGCACGACCAGTTCGGTGTGGACGATTTCGTCACGCCTCTGGTGCTGCTCGACCGCGCCAACGTGGCCGAACAGTTCCTGGCCGACTCGTCTGGCCACCAAGCGGCGGCCGTCACTGCGCTCGATGACCTGCTGGAGCGCAGCCTGCCCGCCGCCGCCAGGTACGGGCAGGAGAGAGGGAGGGAGCCAGCCCGCCTGGGGCAGCCAGGTAACACGGTGACTGAGGGAGGGAGGGGGAGGGAGGGAGGGATGGAGACTCCCCGCCGTCACCGCGCTGGACGACCTGCTCGAGCGCAGCCTGCCCGCCGCCGCCAGGTATGACGGTACAACAGGGAAGGAGCCAGCCCGCCAGGAGCAGCCAGGTAGAGAGGTGATGTAGAGGTAGAGGTAGAGGTAGAGATGATGGAGGGGAAGAGAGGCGGCGGAAGGTGGGAGGGAGAGAGCCTGTCCGTCGAGTCCAATTACGGACAGGACTTGAACTTGGTGGGAGTTGGTTCAGGGTTCGGGGGGGGGGGGCTGGAAGGGAGTCCATTATGTCAACGATGGTCGGCAACTCACCCTTTTTATCATCTTCTCTGCCCTCGCCATCTTCCCACTCGATTCAGTCTCTCCATATTCTCCCCGGCTCCGCCGTCAGCGCGCTGGGGATGCCGACGTTCGCCAAGGACTCTGTGAACCAGAAGACCCTGAAGAAGCTGATCGAGCGCTGGTGCAAGCGGTTCAGCCTGGACGTGCGACAGGCGGCGCCGCGGACGGCCCTCTTCTCGGCCAAGGCCACCATGAACTACCTGTTCTACCGGCGCTTCAAGGAGGCCAGCATCAGTGAGTGGGGGGCGAAATTACCAGCTACTTTACTAATAAGTGGGGCTGGTTGGGGGAGGGGGTGAGGGTGAAGGGGACCTTGAGTAAGGCGGGCCGGTCACAGGAGTTATGTAAAGGGAAGGAGGTCGCGGGCGCCATAAGGCACAGGGGACACAGGGGACACCCGTCTGAGACACATAAGAGAGAGGGACGAGCCGGGGGTGTCTTTCACAATGATATGTCGCGAGGTTTCTGTCTGTCTTTCTCATGTGTTTGCTGTACTCGGAGCGGTGTGAACTGTCGGCTGGGCATGCACGCTGCAGGTTATATACAGCTGGTGGCACCCTTAGGTCCTTCCTGCTTACCTGCCCCTACTCCTGTCGTACTTGAAACTGCCGCTGACCTGCTGGTACTCCTTTTTCTGCTGTGCAGAGCCGGAGGACTGCGAGGATTTCCTAATTGAGATTCTGGCCGACTATCCGGAGTTGATCCAGGACGCCCTGGAGCGACTCAACAGGTTAGAGCAGGGGCTCGGCGGGCGAAGAAATGGGCTGAGGAGCTGCGCAGCAGCTGGGCTGACGGTCGGCTGTATGTAGATTTGGCTCTGCCGCTGAATATGTTTATGAGTGTATTATTTTGTTACTATTATGCGGGCATGGCGCCTGGGAACGCCGCATTGAATGGCACCGACGCTGTGTAATGTGCTGTGTTGTGTTGTGCAGGTCCGTTGTATTGTATTGTTTGACTGGCTGTGCCATGTTACAGGGAGGGCGCTATGATGACACTATATAACGTGGCCCTGACGCTGGGCGTCTCACATCGTGAGCTGCCCCTGGGCCTTCACGACCTGTTCTTCCGGCCACCGGAGTGAGTGGGTCGGGCGCACCGCGCCGATGAGCTGTATGGTATGTCCAGCAGCGGCTCTGGCCTTCCACAGCGGCTAGGCAGCGCGTGGGTGGTGGTTAAGGCTGTAAAGTCATTCGTTCTGCTGTGCTGTGCCAAAATTGCAGCTGAAATGCTGAACTCACTGTGATGGTAAAAAGGAGTGAGCTGCGACCACTCAGGCCGTCTTTTAAAATGCTGGAGAAGGACGACAGCAGAGTGACAGATTCTCAACAGAATCTCAATTAAGTGAGACGCATGGAAATAACTCTTGTGACAAATTGTGTCACACTCGACCTGCTTGAGAGCGTCATAAGACTGCACCTATTACGTAGAACACAATATCAGCTGTTCATAGAAACCGTTGGGAGGTCACACATCGTGTCACAGCACTTGACGTTGATGTCTACCGTGATGTGCGGCAAAAGAAGCGGTGAATTGAGCTTCGATCAGCCTGGGCCCGTTCCTCACCGTATAGCGACCATGAACCCCGCCGACATCCATCGGTGCTTGACCGTTCTAACCTCATTGACCTCCGTGTCCAACAGACGGCCGGACGAGGACTGGGCGTACCGACAGGGGCCGGCACCACGCGCCTCAGACTTCTACCGAATGCCGTCTCACGTGCGAGTCGAGCTGGTGGACCGGACCGGGCAGCTGCCCTCGGTGGTCCGCGAACTGCAGCTGGTGAGCAGCCGGGGGGAGGGGGCAGCTGCAGGCGGTGGGGAGCATTTGGTAGCGTGGGGCAGCTGCAGCGGCTGGGAGCAGCTTTGGACAGCTCCAGCTGGGAGCGGCTGCCAGCTGAATAGGGGCAGTTGCAGCTGGTGATCAGCTGGGGAGGGCAGCTGCAGTCATGGTGAGCAGCTTGGGGGCAGCTGCAACTGTTGAGAACAGTTGGGGAGAGGCAGCTGCAGATGGTGCGCAACTGAAGGGCGACGGCCGGCCAGCTGGTAAGCAGCTGAGATTCGGTAGCTGGTGAGTGATGAACATCGTCATCACTCACCAGCTGTCAAGGGAAGAGAGGCCAGCTGCTGGTGATGATGGGAAGCTGGTGGGCCCACATCAGTCAGATGCGTGCAGTCAGTTCGGTACACCTTCACCCCGCGATCAGCAGTGCAACTGTGCTCCGCGGCGGGGCCAATGTTGGAATTGTCGTTTTCGGTCCTGGTCCCGGAGAATAGAGAACCGGCCAGCTTTTCGAGCAACCACCAGGGAAATCATATTTTTGGGCTACGAAACGTAATCGCTGATAAAATTTGTTACTCTCAATGCTATTACTGTATATTTTAGGTGTAATAATAACACTTTTTATCACACATGCTGGAAAATTTTGAAGATTTCAAGTACTGGAGTATAATTTGTAAGGGAGAACAAAACCTTTGGGACCCGACTGGGACCAGCAAATGGTCTTATTTCCAACATTGGGCGGGGCCCGGCAGCCCTGATCCGCTTAGTCTGTAGGTACTGACAGCCTCCCCGTGCCGCCTGTCCCCAGTACTCGGGTCCGCTGGGCCTGGACGCCGAGTGGAAACCCATCTCCGTGCGGGACGTCAACGAAGTCTCGCTGCTGCAGGTAGGACCGAGGGCTGCTGGATTAATCAGAATGGTCAGCGGGTCCCTTAGCTCCCTCTCCCCAGCCGATTGTGTATGTCACTATACTGTGCATACATATAGTGGACGTGAGGAGGCGTGTCATTCGCGAACTCTGTAAATAATTGAGAATTTGAGACTCATCAATAGCGCATGGATTGCATCATCCAGCCCGGTGATAGCCTTCGAAGACCGCATTACTTCATGTTCTGTTCCCATACACTTCGGTTTTGAGGTAGTATCACTTGAATATTCAAGTCAATTATTTTACACCATCATCGCAATACGAGGTTACCAAGGCATGAGGAAAGTCGGCTGACTGATGATCGGTCGGCTCTGATATAGTGCTGCCATCTTTTGGCGACCTGTGGTGCTCAGTTTTCTGTCGTTGCCCCCAGGTGGCTACTGATCAGACCGTTTACGTGTTCGACCTCCAAGAGCTGAGCGGCTCCTCGAAGCAGATGGAGAGCCTGGGCACGGCGCTGCTCTGCGGAAACAACCTCAAACTCGGTGCGGAGCGGCTGGGATTATCCGTGGGCCCTTCCTCAGCACACGCTGCTCTATTCCTTTCACGGCCATCTTGGCGAATCGTACTAATCGTTCTGTTACTAGCATTTCTCAATTATTCAACCAATTTTTTAGCGGTACTGTAATTTTTATTAAGTGTAAGCTCCGCCGGAGTCAGAAATTCGTTGGATGGATGAAAATGGTATGTGTGACCACTGTTTGCAGGGTTCGACTTGGCGAGTGATTTTGACATGCTGGAGGCTTCAGTACCCTGTTTCGGCAAGGCCATCCTGAACCGGAAGAACATGATGGACGTCAAGGTGCTGGGCAGTCGCGTGGAGGCCGCCTTCCCGGACGTGTTCCCCTTCAAGGAAGGTAGGCTGGTGGTCCGGCCCACACTGAGTGTGGGCGCAGCCTGGGTCTCTATCAGTAGTGTGGGGTTATCTGCTAACTGCAGTATGGGGCTGTGATGCGGGGTAGCCGTCCCATGAGCCCTTCCCTTTACCGGCATCCCCCAGTTACCTTGTATATCTTCCATCGCCTAAACGAGAGACGCTGTGTGATGATCACGAGATCCCTTCCATGCTGCCTCTCTCACGGTCACGTGTCTTCCTCCAGCGCCGGCGGCGGCGGGCTCTCCGGCGGGCTCGTCGGCCGCCGCCGGACACAAGAAGCCCAAGGAGGCGGCCAAGGGGCTGAGCGAGCTGGTGCGCAAGTGTCTAGGCCGTCCGCTGGACAAGGGGGAGCAGTGCTCCAACTGGAAGCGGCGCCCGCTGCGGCCCACCCAGCTCCAGTACGCTGGTGAGTGGGGGACAGATAGGACAAATCCAGTACGCCGGGGAGTGGGGAATGGGGTCAGATCCAGTACGCCGGTGAGTCGCCTGCGGACCGCCCGCACCGGGAATCGGACCCGACCATGGGACAAGGTGGGGCTGGTGGGTGCGATGTATCACGCCGCTACCGACCGTACTGTAATATTGGAGTTTTCAGTAGCTGTTATCTAGCAGATGAGCCGGTGATTTTGCTAGCCGCATTATGCGCCGTCTATTGTGTATGTAGGTACACAGTCGGGTATCTCCTCACTTCCCCGTTGATCTCTCCCCCGGTTGACCGCTCGTCCTCCCCCCCCCCCCTCTCCCCCTGCCGCAGCGACGGACGCCTTCTGTCTGGTGGCCCTGTATGAGGAGCTCCGCTGGCGCCTGGAGCTGCACCACACCACGCCGCACGAGGTGGTGCGCTGCATCGTCACCAACACCAACGCCGCACCAAAGGCGGCCGCCAAAGCCAAACAGAAGAAACCGACCGCGCCGGCGCCGCGGGTCAGTCGGCCGGCGGAGCGGTCTGACATTAGTTTGGCAATAACATGATCATAGTAGCGCTTTGGAATAGTAGTCTGGAAATTAGTGCTGTTGTCAGTGGTCACCTCAATATCGTTTATTTGATGACCCAAACAATAATTTGTTTAATTGTCCAGTATATGCTACATTAAGACTAGTCGGCAGTGAGTTACAAGATGTGAGTTGCATCCACAGGCGTCCTGGCCGTTCAGTGACCTGCCCTGTCCTGACCTGTAACTTGTCGGCCGGCAGGGTCAAGAGGAGCTGCCCAACGCGCCGCCGCCCAACTCGCGGGCCATCCGTCCGGACGCGTTCCGCGCCGTCTGCGACACCATGGTGCAGGGCCTCGGCAAGAAGCTGCGCAGCATTGGAGCCGACGTGGCCATTCTAGGTCAGTAGTGCCGGACCAGCAACAACCAGGCTGGATATCATGTCCGCTTTTGCAGCTGTCTTGGATATCAGACAGGGACAACCATTCCGTTCATAATCTGTGTGTTAACTTAATTCATTTTCTCTTCGGTAAGGGCGGGGAGGAGGGCGAATTCAGGCTTTCCGAAAGATTTACAGTCTATGCCAGAGTTATTTCGCGGTCAACGGGATTAAAGAATTGGGCTCGTCCGGGATTTGAACCCGGGACCTCTCGCACCCGAAGCGAGAATCATACCCCTAGACCAACGAGCCGATGTGGAGGGTCGAGATTTGATTGTTTCGGCCGCGACGGCGTGCTTGTTTTTTTTTCCTCAAGTGCTTGCGTCATTGTTCTTGCGAAAGGCTTGATTGTGTAACTGACGACGGACGCCTCACTGGCCTGCTTTTGCCCGCCTGGTAGACGGGCAAAAGCACCTATGCTTGCCCGGCATAGGTGATATGACTCAGTTAATGCTGCTCCTTCTGCACTCTGAGTTAAAAGCCACAAATCAGCTATTTTCAACGGAGCCGCGTGCGCTATGCCTGTTACGTATTTATGTTGTTTCCCTTTGCCCGTGTTGAACCTGCGGTTTCATTATTACTTGAGGCTGCTCCTGTCATTTCATCCGGTGCACCTTAATCCTGGAGTCCCACCACCCCAAAAGTGACCTCCACCGTCATGGTTTTCAGGTCCCAGCTGCCGCCGATCCAATGAAGACATTTCGTCTCCGCTGTCCCCGTAGAACGGGTATAGATAGATCCGACTGGCTTCTGTCCCGTAGAACGGCGATTCTGACTGACAACTCTCCCGTAGAACTGCGATTCTGACTACTCTCCCGTAGATCAGCTATCCGACTGATGACGTCTTCCGTAGAACGGCGATTCTGACTTTCCCGTAGATCAGCTATCCGACTGATGTCTTCTTCCGTAGAACGGCTCCTCCTGACTCCCCTCTCCTGCCCCCAGAGAACGGTGACGACCACGACCAGTGCGTGGCGCTGTCCCGCCGCGAGAACCGCGTGATCCTGACGCGCGGCCGGCAGCTGCACCGGCGCATGGCCGGTATGGTGTCCACGGGCCTCTGTTACCGCGTGGACGCCGAAAAGGCGGCCGATCAGCTGGAGGAGGTGGTGCGACACTTCCGTATCGACGTGGCGCCCGACGACGTCTTCAAACGGTGCCAGGTGAGCGGCACCAGCCCGCGGGTGACCAGCCGGGGACCGTCAGGGCTTCTCCATGTAATGAATGGCAACTGTTTATCGAGACGGCTGGTTTCTAGTCGTGTATTTACTGGTTTGGCGGCGCTAAGTCGATAATCGGCACAAAGCAGCTATTATTTTCAACACAGCATACTTTGCTACGTGCTTATTTTGTTTCGCTGTGCTCTTTCTTTCGCCTTATTTCAAGTTTCAGCCGTCATTTGCCTGTGCCGTAGGTCGTGAACTGGAATGATGTGGCCGTACTCAGTGCCCACTGCCCAGGGCGTCATACGTTGTACTGTGTTCTCCAGCACTGCAACCGAGTACTGGCGGTTACCCATTGACGTCATATACTGTGCTGTGTCCCCAGTACTGCAACTGCGCGGACTACTGGCAGTTAACCAATGACGTCATATACTGTGCTGTGTCCCCCAGTGCATACTGTAACTGCGCCGACTTCTGGCAGTTACCCAATGACGTCATATACTGTGCTGTGTCCCCAGTACTGTAACTGCGGCGATTACTGGCGGGTGCCCAGTGACGTCATATACTGTGCTGTGTCCCCAGTACTGCAACTGCGCCGACTACTGGCGAGTGCCCACCGGCGTGATGCGCCGTCTCCGGGACCGACTGGCAGGCGGTGGCGGCCGCGGCGCCGACTTCTGTCCTCTGGAGGGGCAGGGCACTGCTCAGGTGGACCTCAACTCGGGACTTGTGAGGTGAGCAGGGACGTTCAACTCTGGACTATGTATAGTACGATGAGCAGGCCGGACGTTAAACACAGGACTAGTGCGGTGAGCAGGGACGCTCAACACGGGAGTAATGCGGTGAGCGGGGACGTTCAATACGGGACTACACCTACAGTGCGGTGAGCAGGGACGTTCAACACGGGACTAGTGCGGTGAGAAGGGACGTTCAACACCAACAAGGTACGGTGAGCAGGTGGTCAGTCACGCTGACGCGGATCGGAAAGCCGCTGCGTACTTGTGTGAGCCTTGCCTGTCAATCTCCGACCACAGATGACCCTATCTAATCAGAGCCGCTGACGGCTCGCCTGCTGACTTCCCGCCCGTCTCGTCCCCCAGGCACACGTCTGTTTACGTGGCGGCGGCCGGGCTACACAGCAGCACCCTGGACGGTACCGACACGTTCTACGTGTGCCAGGTGTGCGGGCATGTGTACTGGGCCGGCTCACACCACGGCAAGTATGTGGCTAACCTGGGCGGCATCATCGCCGGCGGCGGCGGTGGCGACGGAGCGCACGTGAGTCCTCTAGCCTGGCGGGAGGGGGGGGGGCACGTGAGTCCTCAAAACGGCGAGGGGGGTCACGTGAGTCCTCAGACCGGCGGGGAGTAGCTGGGTAGGGAAGTGAGGCAGGTATTCTGTATCCTCTGACTTTGTAGTTTGTGCCTCAAGTCTGTCCGGTCGATTGTTACGGCTAAGTCACCCTGAAGAAAAGGTATTCAGTGCTGAGTGCTGATACTTGTCCCGTGGCTCGAGGTTGCAATGCCTCAATGCTGGTGCTCCGGTGACCTGCTGCAGCGCTCCCGACTTTGTGTCTCCGCCGCCCCTGACACCCTTTCCTCGTCTCCAGGGCGGTGCGTGGGGCGGCGCGCCGGCGCCCCGACCGCGCTCCCCGCCCAGGGTAATGTACGAGTCGGACTCGGAAGACGACTGGTACTACTAGACCGCGCCGCCAGCCGCCAGCGCCGGCATTTATCCTGCAGCGCCGCGCTTGTTGTGTTGTTAGCTGTTCGCTGCGGTGCGAACTATGTGCAGTCGGCGATGGACGCTCCTGCTGACCTGGTGTGCTGGCGTTCAACGGAGGTCAGACCTATCCTAGCCGAGCGGCCGGCGCTGCGCTGATGCTACCAGCGCCGTTAGGTCTGACCTACCCTAGCCGATCGGCCGGCGCTGCGATATTGCTGCCAGTGCTGTCAGTTCAGACCTATCCTAGCCGAGCGGCCGGTGCTGCGACATTGCTGCCAGTGCTGTCAGTTCAGACCTATCCTAGCCGACCGCGGCGCAACCTGTGCTATGCTGTTGCCTGTTGACTGCCTACAAAGTAATCTATTGTGCGGACGGGGGCCGGGCTGATCGCGGTGTGTTATTGGCCGGCCGCGGCCGCCGCTGGAGTGTTCGGCCGGCGGGTACTGACCGCCGGGAGAGGACGGGCGCGCCGCTCTATCAGCGGCGCCGCAGTGATACGGCAATGTACAAACGGGCGAGGACCGCCGGCACGGGGTGTCTGTACAGGGAGCGGGCCGCGTGTCTGATGAATGGACGAGCCGCGCCCGAACGCCCGACGATTGAGCGCGGCGCAGAGGCTTCCGGCGACCGCGACGCCGCTGACGCGATTTACTAGTGACGATTTGCTTATTTTGAAAATGAGACTAAGATGTTACTCACTGGTAAACCTTGTCGGGACAGAGTTAAAATAAACATTTAAACGAGCAATTTGTATAAATATCAGTCGTCTTTGTTACATGTCACGGCAGAGAAGGCAGACGCATCTGGGGGCAAAGCTGCAAACGAACAAGGCAAGCTATATCAGACATTTTATTGTAGATGCAAATCAGACCAGAGACATTTAAAGTGGCGGTCTTGTGTACGCCGTGCAAGCGCATCCGTTGATGCACACGATCTTGGACGCCCACGGCACTCAAAAACATTCCATTCCTCCCTCCCTGGCCTTCGGTCGCTCATAGCAGTCTGACAAACACATACCCTCCCTCCCTGGCCCTCCGTCATAGGGGAGGATGTGTTCATCAAACACAGTCGCTCACAGTAGTCTAACAAACACTTGCCCTCTCTCCCTGACCCTCGCTCACAGCTATCTGACGAACACCCCCCCCCCCCTCCCCGATCGTTTCGGTCGCTCACAGCAGTCTTACAGAATTATCACAGTCGAACATTGCAAACACGCCAGCGTACGTCCGGCGTGTCAGGTCCACTCTGTCGCGGTGACCGCTCCGGCTCTGCCCACCAAAGGCGTCGCCTCTCCGTCAGTCCAGGCGCACCAGGGGCGTCGCCTCTCCGTCAGTCCGTTAGACGCACCAGGGGCGTCCCCTCTGTGACGGTGACTGCTCAGTCAGTTAGACGCACCAGGGGCGTCGCCTCGGTGACGGTGACGCCCTCCACACCGGCAGGCCCCACTCGGAAGTGGACGGTGTCGGGCGCCAGGTGGGGCGCCGAGGCCACGCTCAGCTGCATCAGCCGGCTCGGCGGAACGCTGAAACGCGACGAGGTTACCAGTGGTGAGCGGGCCTCAGGGGGAACGAACATCACGCATCAGCCGGGTTTGCTGGCGCTGCCAAATAAACATCACTGCAAGGCATGATTACACAGGCTTGGTTACGCGCTACACAGGCTTGAATACATACTTCACAGTACACAGCGAACGTTTTGCACATGATGCTGGATTTTTAACGCTGATTTGATTTTATGTTCAAACTTCTAACAACCTGAACTGACATCATTTTTTCTAGCTACAGCCAGGAGTCTATGGGCACTCAGTCGGCGACGCTGTGGGTGCGGGTCAGACTCCGGCCCGGGTCAGTCTGTGGGTGCGGGTCACCCTGCGGGCGCCGAGGCCTGCCACCGACCTGTCAGCGCGGCTGTAGCCGGTGCGGGCCGCCGTCAGTCGCGTGGTCAGCTGGCTGGACCAGGCCAGACCCAGCGCCGGGGTAATGCCGCCGCCGCCACCGGCCTCCGCGCCGTCCGGGGCCACCACGGCCGTCACCTGGCGGTCAGGCACACAGGGGTCAGCCGGGGGACAGTCAGACACACAGGGGTCAGCTGGAGGAGGGGCTCAGGTCAGCTGTGGGACACCTGGCGGCCAGGGGACTCGGGTCAGCTGGGGGACACCTGGCGGTAGGAAGATACAGAGGTCAGCTGGACACCTGGCGGTCAAAGACACAGGGGTCAGCTGGGGGAGGGACTCAGGTCAGCTGGGGGAGGGAGTCAGGTCAGCCGGGGGACACCTGGCGGTCAGGGACACAGGGGCAGCTGGGGGACACCTGGCGGTCAGGGGACACAGGGGGTCAGCTGGGGGAGGGACTCAGGTCAGCCGGGGAGGGGCTCAGGTCACCTGGGGGACACCTGGCGGTAGGAAGACAGTGGTCAGTTGGGGGAGGGACTCAGGTCACCTGGCGGTCAGGGACACAATTCAGATGGGGGAGGGACTCAGGTCAGCTGGGGGTCAGGGACACAACTCAGATGGGGGACACAGGTCAGCGGAGGGAGTCCGGAATGGACATTAAGTCAGATGGTTGGACGGGAAAGGTTCACGAAACCTTGTACGCACTGGGGGAGATACTTTCCATTTGGGAGACTGAGTATAGCATCGTAGCTTTAAAAGTCACGATATGAAGTCAATGTTACGAGCTGATACAGGCTTATTGAATGGGTCCGAAAAATGAGGTCAACAGATATATAAATTGGAAGCAGATGAGGATTCGGAGGTGCATTATAAGGGAGTACTGCTAAAAGCTCCATAATGAGACAGGCCCTCACAACTATGCAACAAAGGAACAGCTTTGTTCCCGAAGGGCGCGCCCCGGTCGACCCCGGGCCAGGTGTCGGGTTGGTTATCGGGCCGGCGGGGTCACCTGACCAGGCGCCGATCACCTTGGCTGCGGCCCCGCCGGCCAGCGCCGGTCACTGCAGACCCGGCACCGCTGACCCCCGAGAGCCACCGCCGCCTCTGAAAAAGCGGGGCGCGGCCGGCGGCGACCTCCCGGGGGCGGTATAAAGGCGCCGCGGTGAGACGGATTGTCAGCCAGTCTCCGGCCCGGCCGTCCGCCGCCCACCTCCCGAACCCCGCAGACACCCTCTCCTCCCCCGCCATGCTGCGACTCGTCGTTCTGTTCGGCGTGCTGGCCACCGTGCTGTCCGAGCCCGAACCCGGCTACCTCCGCTACGGAGGCTACAGGGGCTACGGCCTCGGCTACGGGCTCGGCTACCGGTCGTACGGCTACGGCGGGCTCCGCCACAGGCGCTCGGCCGACCCTGAACCCGGCTACCTCCGCTACGGCGGCTACAGGGGCTACGGCCTCGGCTACGGGCTCGGCTACCGGTCGTACGGCTACGGCGGGCTCCGCCACAGGCGCTCGGCCGACCCTGAGCCCGGCTATCTGCGCTACGGCGGCTACAGGGGCTACGGCCTCGGCTACGGGCTCGGGCTCGGCTACCGGTCGTACGGCTACGGCGGACTCCGCCACAGGCGCTCGGCCGACCCTGAGCCCGGCTACCTGCGTTACGGTGGCTACAGGGGCTACGGCGGCATCGGCTACCGCCGGTACGGAGGCTACGGATACGGTGGTTTCCGGCACCGGCGCTCCGCGGACCCTGAGCCCGGCCACCGCCGCTACAGAGGCTACGGGGGCTACGGAGGATACCGCGGATACCGCGGCTACGGAGGATACCGCCGCGGCTACGGCGGCTACGGCTACCACTAGACTGGCCGCAGACAAACCCCCAGGGACCGGGGACTGCGTGCGCCCGGTCCGCGGCGGCTCGTGCGGCGCCCAGGGGGCCCGGCGCGACTAGTGTCACGCGCCGGGCCTCAGTCGGCGCCGAGACGCCGCCGAGACCAGTCCGGCGCACATTCACCCGACGGCGATCGCCGTCCAAACCGCGTAAATACACTGTCCGATCTACAGGAGCCGTGGTGTCTTCTGTGGGCTGCCGGGGTCGGCAATATCCTCGGTCCGCCAGTTCAGTGGTATTGTCATAAACACAGGAGGGCTTTAAGATGGCCCAGGAGGGAGAGATCGCGACGGGCGACACGGGCGGGACCAGGTTATCACTCCCTGAAAGTCATGCACAGCACACATAGGTAGTGACCAACTGGCTTCATGAAAGGCCACAGAACATTCAGAAATAATCTCTGAACGGTCGGCGGTCTTCCTTTCGGTAGTCCGGAAGGGTTGGCAGTGGGAAAGGCTCTACCAGAACAGGGGATCGATGCAATTCTTGGGTTCTTCAATTTTCCGTGACCTCTATCTCGGGCGTGACCTATTTACGAGTACACGGATCGGGCAAAAATTTGTGATGACTTTAAACCCTCGCCAGACCTATTGGCTTTCTAAATACGCTCCGGCCGAGGGGGGTGGCACGACCCCCCCCCCCCCTCGTAGTTTCGCCCCTGATGGAGCTCTGAGCGTCGCCGAAAAAAAAAAAACAAGCATGTGCGGCGTTACGAGACGCAGCAAATGGTACCCGGTTTTCAGGTCTCAGGTCAACCGGTGACCTCTAAGGTCAAGTAAAGTGGCCCAAGGCACGGGTTCGGTTTTTGATATTTCAATAACTTCGCAAAAAAAAATGGTAGCAGCGCCGCGAGTTTGGCATTATCGTGTTTGCCTCGCTTAGGCGCGTCGAATGGTAGGTACACTTTTTGTTCGGGCGAGGTCAACTTGAGGTGTTGACCTCGGGTCAAGGTCAGGTCAGAGGCCCCAAGGACACAAAGTTGGTCGAAGAAGGTCATATTGCATAGCATTCGATTCGGCAGGTCTTATTGAGTCCATTGGTGGCTTTTCCGACTCACTAGCTCAATTAGATCGGGAGTTAGGTATTGACGAAAAACTCCTGGGTATGACACTAATGACATCATAAATGATGTCACGCAATGTCAGCAATGCAAAAGTGAAGCATCGGATCTTGCAAGGAGTGCATGAAATCACGATTCCGTGTGGTTGAGATAGTTGGAGGTCAACTCCAGCGCCAAAATAGCAATTTTCATGTTCCTAATTGACTTAACCCGCGCCCGGCTGGGGGTCCTGGATTTCCACGCCCTGCTGGGGGGGGGGGGGGGTGTTTGAACACCCCCCCCCCCCTTGTAACTCGGCTCCTGGGCCACGTAGCGATACGCGGAAGGCGGCGTTCGAAAGAGCGTCAAAAATAATGAGGAAATCACTTCGGTCAATTTTTTGGTCAGGTCAAAGGTCAGGTCACCAGAGGTCATTGAAGGCAAAATTTCGCCGATTTCCAGGTCGAATGTCGACAATTTCCAAGAAGCCAACGCATAACTCGGGAACCAATAGAGCTACAGCGCCGCGGAAAAGCGCATTCGATAGCCCTATTAACGCCCTTTCTGAGTAATTCTCTCAGATTTGACCTAACGTCAACGGTTTTGCCTGCAGGGGGCAAAAACTGCAAAAATAGCCTATTTTTTTCGGAAACAGTTTTTCTGCAATAACTTTTGACCCAAGCCTTGTACGAGCTTACTTTCACCGGCATCGTGTTCCTCTCGTCAAGACGCATCGAATGAACTATAACTTGACCTTGAAAGGTCAACTTGAAAATTTGACCTCAGGTCAAGGTCATGACCTGACCGGAAAGGGTCATGTTGCATATCAGTCGATCCGTATCGTCGAGCTGAACACATCTAAGGCGTTTTCATCGCTCTAGCATGCCTCTATCAAAAGTTATTTGCGAAAAACTGTTAGATACCATTCGTGACCTAAGATGACCTCAGGGCATAAACAAGGGTCACGGACACCATTTTCATGTTCAGTGTGTCTAAACCACTTGTAATTCGGTGTTTGGGAGTGTTTATAATGTCTTTCATCCAAAAGAGGCGCATTTCAATTTTCTCCCATTGACTTATAATGGGGAGGTCGCAAAATTGACCTGACCTTAGGTCATCGATGTCAAAATTCTGAGATATACATTTTGTACATGCTATTGCTCTTAGCAATCGCTGAAAGTTTCAAAGCGATCGGTCACTTGGTGTAGCTATGACAGACATTGAAACTTTTTATGAGGTGAGGTCACTTCAAGTGACCTGGTGACCTGACCTTGAATGACCTTGGTCTGAAATTTTCACAACATGTGTAGAATTGATGTATGATAAGGTGTACCAAAAACGGCGGCGCTCCGCGCCGCCGTTTTTGAGATATTCGCGAAAAACCACAAGGGGGGGTGTTCAAACACCCCCCCCCCCAGCAGGGCGCGGGTTAACCCACGCCCTGCTGGAGGTTTGAACACTCCCCTGAAGTTTTTCGCGAATATCTAAAAAACAGCATACCTTATCATGCACATTTTCTGCACATGTGAAAATTTTAGACCAAGGTCACTTAAGGTCAGATCACCAGGTCACTTCAAGTCACCTTACCGCATAAACAAGTAAATGTCTGCCATAGCTACACTGAGAGGCTATGGCGCTTTAAAACTTAGAGCGATTGATAGGTGCAACCAAGATGGTGCAACAGCATGTACAAAATGTTTATCTCGAAATTTTGTTATTTGTGACCTAAGGTTAGGTCAATTTTGCAACTTCCCCATTTTAAGTCAACGGGAGAAAATTGAAAGTCGCCTCTTTTGGACGGACGTCATTCTAACAACTCTCAAACAGTGAAATACAAGTAATTATGACACAATGAAAAATGGCACCCGTGACCCCTGTTTATGCGCCTGGGGTCATCTCAGGTCACGAATGGTATCAACAGTTTTTCGCGAATAACGTTTGATAGAGGCATGCTACAGCGATGAAAACGCCTTAGATGTGTTCGGCTTGGCGATACGGATCGACTGATATGCAGCATGACCCTTTCCGGTCAGGTCATGACCTTGACATGAGGCCAAATTTTCGAGTTGGTCAAACTATAGTTCATTTGATGCGTCTTGACGAGAGGAACACGATGCCGATAAAAGTAACCTCGTGCAAGGGTTGAGTCAAAAGTTATTGCAGAAAAAGTGTTTCCGCAAAAATCATCTATTTTCATCTATTATAAAATCATCTAGCCCCCCCCCCCCCCAGGGGAAAACCGTTGACGTTCGGTCAAATCTGAGAGATATACTCAGAAAGGGCGGTAGGTCATCCGAAGTCAGCCCTTTCCTTTTCCTTTACCCGATTTTACGGCATCTATCTCGCCAAAAACCAGAGCCCGAGTTGTTGAGTCAGGTCAATGACCTGAACAGTGACTCAACGGTTGACATACCTACGGGCTACGACTTTAAAGTTGGGTTCAAAGCACCCTCTTCTGGAGAGCAGCACACTCGTTTCTTCGCGAAACTCTAGCTCAATGAAGGTTTCTATCGAGGAAGCTCGTAACAATTGCAGTAGGTAGCGCACGATATTACTCCTACAGTGACGATTAAATTCTATATAACTTGGCGACTGGTGAGCACAAAATGTTAGTCAGTCAGACGTCTCTCGAGGCGACAAACCAGCGCAGCGGGTGCATGAATGAGCACCGCACGCGCGCAGTGCAGAGCGAGACCCTGCCATTTTAGGGCACTCTGACTTCAAGAGGTCATCGGCGCCAGCGAGACCCTGACCTGTAGTCGACTAACTGGTCCCTAACGGCGCACCAGCTTTGAAAGCCGTCGCTCCTGAGACACTCGTGCAACCTGCACCCTGGCACATGGAAACGCGTCGCCCAGTGGGTGTTTACTGTCTACCGATGCCTAGTTTCAGCGCAAATGACCCAGCCACTGCGAAACCATTGAGCGGGAAACAATATTGACACTCCCGATATGGCACATCGGCGTGACGATGAATCCGGTGCGTTGAGACTTGAGAGCAGTCCAACACACGGAATGGATGGGGCCACCCGACACAGAAGACCATGCGCTAATAGTGTGAAGGCCAGCGGTAACGCAAAGTTTTCTTTACGCAGTTCGTAGATGATATAACCACACCGCGTAGCTCTAAGTTCATTTCTATATGAGAACGGTCAGCTCTATAAATGTGTTGGATGTGATCTGTCAATCAGCGACACATGGATAAAGGAAATGCGACGCATGAGTTGAATAGTGAATACCTACGGTTAATTGACACAATGACTCGGACGAGTTTGGAATATGAAACAAAAAATATATTTGCAATGGCACAGTCCGTGCGGCACGGAACATTAACAACATACAGAAAGTCTCTTGACGATTTCAGCGACCTCCTAAACTGAGCCTATGAAAATAATCGAACAATCGATAATCCACTCCAAGGCTGGTCAATAGAATGCAAGAATATTTGACCCTCAGTCAACAAGCAGCGTTTGTCTATAGGCCGACTTGCCTTTTGACAAAGGGGAAATTCCCCAAAAGGTGACGCAGGTTCTTAAGCACAGCATCGCCTGCTGCTCCGACCCTCCATCTTCAGAGGGTGAGGCTCACATAGAACACAACCCCAGACAGCCAGCGGCCGAGCGCTCAGCTGCGCCGGCCGTAGTTATCCTCGTAGGCTGCTGTTCTCGGCCGGACAGGTGTCTGCTCGGCGGCACGGACGTGCCGTGTCAGGTCCTCCACAGCGGAGGAGGCGGCGGAGGCAGGGTCGGCCGAGTGGCCGCGCAGGTTGGTTTCCACCGCGCGCCGGCGCCGGTTGACGACGAACACTCCGCCACCGGGCCCGAAGCCGCCGCCGCCCGGTCCGCCGCCTCCGAAACCGAACCCTCCTCCGCCTCCGCCCCCACCGCCGCCGCCTCCGCCGCCGTACTGGCCGAACCTTCCATAGCGCCGGGTGGCCTTACTCGCCCGGTACTTAGGCTTCTTCTTGGGGTCTGGCTCGCAGAGCGCGGCAGCCACCAGCAGCGCAAACAGAATGAGGTGCAGGAGCCGCATGCTGGACACGGAGGGCGCCGAGGGATGGGGTGACGGCGAGCGGTGAGCGACTGACGCGGCCGGCGCGCTGCCCGGCTATATACAGCGCCGCCGGTCGGCAGAGAG